ATTACTGGAATAGGCTACCTTTTATTTTAGTCCAAAATCCTTTCAGTTAACTACGATTTCCATGTTCTGTTTCAATATATCGCTTATATCTATTTATATATTTTCATATTTATAATATATTTTCAGTGATGCTGATTGGCTTTTTGTTCCTGATCTTGATCCTCTTCAACAGCAACTTGTTCAACACAACAACATCTACCAGCACATCTACAACACCAGCCGGTGTCACCTTCTTAGCTGGTTAAACGGTAAGTTCACTTTTATTTATAATATTATATTCCATTTAAGAAATTCCGGAAGTTACTTTGAATCCGTATTGTCTTATATAAAGCAGCACAACTTCAGATTCATGTTTCACTTTTTAAGACGCTTACTATTCTTATAAACCTAAAACATGTCAACATATGCAAACATACCATGTACTTTAACTAAGTATCAAATTACAAAATGCCACGTGATCTGCGAATATTACTTTCAATAAACGATTGATATCAAGTTTAATGCAGGTCCTATACTATTGGTACCTCTAGTTTTGTGTTATGCTATTGAAATCCCCTCAATTGTGAAAACACCGCTCCAAACTTAAAGGCGTGCACATTCACGACTGATCATTTTTCTGGTAGCGTTATTAAATGACAGCTGACGGGCTGAGATAGAATTGCCTTTGTCAGCAAGTAAATAAAAGAGTCATATAATCCGCCCCCTTCTCAAGAAAGAGAATATACATGTATTTATAGGTTTCTTTTAATCGTATTCTTAATAGTGGAAATTTTCATTTATGTTCAATATTCCAAAATACTCATTTGCAGTGAGATGTAAACTATATTCTACTCAAAACAAACATTTTCTGTTTTATCACCGGTCTTATTCTATAGATGACCAAAGATCTTAAACAGGCGCTAAATGACCATATTTTATGTGACATTAATTTATAGTTTATACAAATTTATTTTAGTTCGATAATGTTGGAAGCTATAAACTTTATTGAAACACTCGAATGCGTTTTTGGAACCAACCAGTACTAAGCAATGACTGTAAAGGAAACAGCAACTTGCCAGTAATCCGTAGATTACTAGTCCTGCGCATTAACCACTTGGCCACGACGCCATCTTATGTTACGTCACATAGCAGAACATGTCTTTGTTTTATATTTCATCGCAGAACACATTACTTAAGACGTCCTATATAAACAATATTTTCAATAAAATATGTGTCTATCTTTTACAGTAACACTTTGGTCTTCACGAAGAAACCTGGTTGTGGACTCAATATATTAAGATTTTCTATCGCTGTTCGTGTTGGAAGCTGACGTTGCCAAGGATACAGAATGTTGCCCAGCTTTGGTTCCCTGCTTGTATAGTCTATCATACATGTTACAACATCATCATCATTGACGTCATTCACAGCAATGTTTGAAAAATCTGTACATTTGTTTGAAAATAAATCCACAAAACTAAATCATTATATTTTGTTTTTTTTAATGGTATTGTTATATTTGGTGCACATTAAATATGCGTATTCCAATGAAAAAGTCCTGCTGAGTAAAATTGTTTCACAGGAGAAATCTACGGAAATAGGTACCCGTACGTGTCTGAAATAATGAAGTGAGGGGCACCTGGGGTGTTCCTCCACTTGTAAAGCTAGGTAGTCGTCTTATTGGCGTGGCGTAAAAACCCATCAAATAAGCAAGATACATTATCACGTTATTGTTACATAGTATTAAATACCTATTGGTTCCACTATTTTAATGATAAATAATGTCCAAAACGGGCATTCTAAATCAAAAGATATGCAACTGTAAATTTTTGTAAATCTGTTTTGAATTTTTAAGAAAAGGGTTCAAGTAATAGTGTTACAGTATTACCATAGAAGTAGCATTTTGCAAACTTATAGGGCAAAACAGTAAATGTTGTTAAAAATTTGATCAAATCCAAGAATCGACCAAGTTAAGAAACTCAAAACCGATACAAAGGTGAAAATTTAAGTAATGAATTTAATTTTTTCATGGTCTTTTCTTTCTAAGTTGAAGGATTCTAATGCGTTCGAACATTTGTATACAAACATTGGAATAATTGCTTGAAATGTGTAACCTGGAGTTATCTTCGTTAAAGATGTGTACGGAGGTTAGTTAGCATTGTAATTAAAGAAATGAACTTCTAATTTGTGAGTTTCACGGGCCATATTGTATTTCTATTCTCATACTTAATGCCTATGTGATTTTTTAAAGTCATAGCACCCAGACAACAGTAACTTGGCATGACATAAAGCAGTATTAAAATTCTTTGTACCCAAAACATGATTTGATTATTGATATTGTCATGAATAGGAAGATATGCGGGACTTCATTTGAACGAAAGAAAAAGAATGATTCAAATGTGCATACATGACCACACTGTTTACGACTTTTTAATTGGACCATTAATAGTTTAAAAATACCTTATATTCTGCGTATGTGACTATTTTTCGTCTCGTAGAAAATTGACCTGTCGATTGAAAGTTCACTTTTAACTATAGCCGAAAAGTCAACACTATAAGAATAATTTCCATAGTGTTTTAGTAGCTTTTATGGCATCGAAGCATTTACTGAGTTGTAGACAGTGCTTTTGGTTTCTTTATCAGTATTTTAAATATTGCTAGTGCTATAAATATTTTACCTTTCAAAAGATAATGTTACGTGTGATAGATAATGCTAGTAGAATATCTATCAGGATATGTTTAGTAATTATACGAGTTGTTAAGAAAATATTCTAAAAAGCGTCGTTAGTTACCGGTAATTTGATTTGGTTAACCGTGCAGTCATACATGTACAGAAATAAAGGAATTTTGTGGGAAATGTGACCGTGCGATCGCGTACACGCATCACGCATACCTTTCAAGCATGGGACCAGAGTGTTTTTCCGACCACCCTGAAAAGGGTAGAGATGAAACAGTCAAACTATCTATCCAGGATATGTGTCTATTTTGCATAAGGTTAACTGCTGTAATGTTATTTTATATGGGATTCACGGTAGTTCATATTCCCGAAATCTGCTGACAACCTGTAAGGAAAATGCCACTTAATTCTTTCTTTAACATATATATGCATGCCAAGTTACTGGTATAGATATAAGAGCAGATTCTTTAACCATTTCAGAAATAGATAAGCCCTAAATATCTTCGAATTTAGAATGAAAATGAGTATGATTAATAATGATATTTTTGGAACAATTTAAAATCTGATTCTAAATAAATGTATGGAATTAAATATTGGGTCATGTATCTCACACTTATCAACAACTTCCATAAATAATTATTTTGGGGTTTATTAATATGTCTGATACTAAATTGCATTACCTACCTTCCACTAAAAGCAATTAACTTAAATAGAGCGTTGGACTCGGGCGACCTGGATTCGATTCCCGGACGGGACAGGTCACTTTTGTTGTGATTGATCATGAAACCATTTTTACAGTCATTCGCACTTTACCTCTGCTTTGGCTAATACAGAAGTTCCTTACGAATGTGAAGGCAACAAGTACTGGTAAACTGCTTGACAGTCTGCCCAAAAATGATGCGGTAGCTGAACTGTGCTCTGGTAAATTCATTGTGGCTTACTGCTGTGATCCGGAGTGAAAACTACCAATATCACCAACATGTACGATAGATCTTACCATGATAAATAAGTAACTAATTTCTATACATTATCCTTAATCTGCTGAATTCATAAATTGACTTCCCCTCTCCTATTTTTGGAACTTTCCATTATTATTTTGAAAGGTGTCACGGAATCTTGTCGCACTGCGCGGAAGTGCATACTGGTCTGGCTCTATACAGATGACAAAGGCCGAATGGTTAACGCGTCGGACTAGTAATCTAAGGATTGCAGATCCCGTGGGTTCAAACCCTGTCAGGGGCAAGCCGTTGTTTCCTTGAGCAAGAAACTGTACATTCATTGCTTAGTACTGGTTGGTTCCAGGAACGGATTCAACAGTGTTTCAATAATTTTATAGCTTCCAACACAATCGAACTAAAATAAATTTGTATAAAATAAAGGTTGATTAATCTGTTTCAGCAGGTAAAGGCTTAAATTCACATGCAATGAAGAATTAAGTTGAATGAAGAATAAAGTTTTCGTTATGGTTTCCGAAAATACGACAAAGTGACATGGCACAAATCAGCCACCATAGTTCGCTTAAGTTTCAAAAGAGCTTAAACTCTTTTTCTAGTTTAATTTATATTTTTAGGTCATAATAATCATTATTTTATTTAACTTACCATCAGCCATATGGCTTTTGTGAGGGATATGAATGTGTTTCTACAGTTTTTATCATATTTCTTTTTTTTCCTTTTTCATCTATACGCGTTGGCTATTCACGCAGTATTGTTTAAGAAAAAAAGGAAGATTTTCTTCCCAGGAAACATTCTTTACATGTAAGTCTTCCTTACTAATATTAGCGTACCGTGATTTTACTGTGATTTTTAAAAAAAATAAAATCTTGAAATCTTGACGATTTTTTAAAATTATTATTGGATTTTCTGTACCACGAAGATCAGAAAACGTCACCATGATATTTTCAGAAGTACTTTCGTCATTTATTGATAATTAAATTCAAATTTTGAAAAAAATATTATGAAAATGTTGGTTTTCAATAAGACAATAAATTTTACAATAAATATAGATAATGAACTATCATAATTTAAAAAAGCAGGTAATTGCTTACTTATATACAAAACATAAACTTAAAAATCAGATTTTATATTTGCAAACAAATGATGCATAAAAAGTACATATCAACAAACGGGTTCATATATTTAATGAATACACTTAATTTTCTCAAGTCAATATCTATTCAAGCGCTATATTCTAAACTAAAGAATATAAATCTTCGTCAAATAAACATAAAATTTAAAATGAAACTTTTCAATTATGTCATCAGATGTCAATGTTTGAAAGAAAATTATGTAAAATTATGTGTGCAGACATTTTGGACAGACTGCTGCACACCCTTAGCCACAAGGAAGTGAATTTTACCATATAAATAAGGTAAACCAGACTGTTGATTATTACTATTCACACAGTAGTCAAACTTGTACATCAGGTAAGCAAAACTATTTGTAAATCAACAATGTTATATATAAAATAGTTTTTAGTGGTTCACATTAGCGTAAATATATTTGATTTTTAATTTGAGTTTAATTCACCATCTAAGACATAGTAAATTTTAAAATTAACAATTTAGTCTTATGAAAAATTCGAAGTTTTTCAATATTTTTCAAATTATTCTCACTTATCGTGTACTTAATGATCTGGCTAGCTTTCAGAAGGTCAGTGGTTTTACTCAGATGCCCATTCGTGCCCGACTTGACGCACTTTGGTGAACCGGAAGTCGTCATGTGGCATTTGTCGGTGTGAGTTTAACAAAAACGACTATTTGTATATAACCTTAAAATGTTTTTTCAAACGCTCTCCATTCTTTGAAACGAGAATTCGATATTTTCAATAGTTTCCCGATATTTTAATGTTGTAATATTTATTTTATTTTTAATTTATTATAGAATCATGAAGATCACAGCCCTCGCCCTCGTCGCCTTGTTCGGTGTCCTCGGAGTCACCCTCGGAATGGGATACGGCGGTTACCAGTACGTGCCAGTACATCCAGGAGCCGGCGGTGCCGGGTATAATGACAATACTTTCTGTAAGTCATTTTTTATATTTTTGTTTTTACTCGAAAGAAACACATTTAATGAAGCGAAAGAAATTATTGGATATTTTTTTTTATTTTATATAAATCTATGTGTTGCACTGGTTCAAGTATGGCCCGGTAATCTTAGTCGGTGACTTCAAATCACATGTCGTCTGCCACTGCGTGTTCATATTTTACTGCAAAGAATGTAAATTTACCGAAGCTGAGATAAACGTGTCCAAGAATATCGTTTTAAAGGACCTCAACTGAGGTCCAAAGCCTTAAAACGTAAAATTTGAATTTCTTACATAGATAAGCGGGGGCACTTAAAAAAGAAAGATATGCAAAAGATAATTAAGAAACATGCTCAGAAATGAATTGAAAATCGTATTTGTATGATATTCTTAGCCCGTTGCAACACTTTTCAATTTAGTGTAATTTGTCACCATTACAATAATTATCCTGGAAAAACGGAGAAAGCGAATGATCAGAAATTTTGCACAAAATTTATTGGTCTAGAATTTCATCAAATGGATAAATATCATAAATTCATAAATTTCGAAATATTATTTCCAGTCACGTCACGCCAAAAAACCTAAGTGGAGTCCCTTTAAAGTCATCTCTTTATGATTCCTATCAATTTGTGTCCACAAAGAAGAATGATATTGATAGAACATTAGAAAAATCGGGACTTATAAATGTTAACAAGTCTATCAAATACCTTTAGTCACGCTTGTTGTAATTTGCAGAATAAATTGTGTAAAACAATCTGTACAATCTGTAAAATTTCTGATATTTTTGTGCATTATTCTTCTTTTCATATTCATAATATATTTTCAGTGATGCTGATTGGCTTTTTGTTCCTGTTCTTGATCCTCTTCAACAGCAACTTGTTCAACACAACAACATCTACCAGCACATCTACAACACCAGCCGGTGTCACCTTATTAACTGGTTAAACGGTTCGTTCACTTTTTTCTCTCGAAAAACACGTTTTTAGTAACTAAAGTTTGAACGTCTTTGTAACTCTCAAAATATCGATAAATACAAACGTTAATAAATTAAGGTTATTAGAAGTTTTTTTTACCATTGAACATTATTTTACTGCATTGTTTAAAACTCAAATAATTAGAATATAAAAAACAAAACAAAAAAACAACAACAAAAAACAGCAACAAAAAACAATGTTAGTTAATTAAGTGGTTTTATTATACAGAATTCAGCAAATGAAAGAAGTCGATTCATATTCTCATCTGGTCACATCAGGCAATGGTCAAAATGCAAGTTGACGTTCATCCGGTATGGTACCTTGCATAGGTGCAATTGTATTGGTATCAACTCATTCCAAGGCAATATTTATTTGTACTAGTAACTGTTAATTTATTTACAATAAACAAAATATTCAATTTATCCGGTTTTTTGTTTGCTTTTCTTTGTTGATTATATAATGGTGTAAACGGTAAATGAAAGTGTTTAATACTTGGTGACCTTTTTTGTAAAAAGAATGTTGAAAAAAGGTTTATAGCTTCGTAAAAATATGATATTAGTTACAAAAATGGCTGACATGTTATATGGTTTAGTATATTTGAACGGTTGTATGTTTATATATAACTCGAGCACTCAAGTGAAGTTAATATTGCAAAATTAGTTTATTATATACAGCAGTGTTACTTCAAAATGAATTGGTCTATAATAGAAGAGCTGTAATACCATATATAATTATTTTGATAGTATTCAATATTGTACATGAATACAAACCATGATAAAAATATATATGGATGTTGTTGGTAAGTGTTGGATACATGATCCAATATGACATATAAATATGTAGCTGATAATTAAGTGTTCTAGAACAAAATATTATTATTCGTCATATATATGTTAATGATTAATCACTTTAATAGAGCTCTATCAATATTCTGTTTTCCATAAATATTTTATAAGAATGCCCATATGATATATTTCTTTGTTGATTTTCTTTTATCATTTGAAATACTTATGGAAATATGCCCATAAGAAGATTTGCCCATGGACTAGCGTTGTACAGCGGATGTGAAACACACATACACACATATTTCAATCTGATTATAATCCGGATCTGGTGACGACCCATAAAAATCTGAATTTTCCCTTCTTAAAGTTGTATTAAAACAAGGTCTATCAAATATTTGAAAGACCTTGATTAAAAGTAGTAAATTAATTACTTATAGTTCTTTCTAAGTTAAATTGTTTAGAAAAGACTTGCTTTGAAAAGAATTCAGAGGCTGGCAACGCTGGTTTAAAATGGTTTCCAAGATTGCAACATTGGAAATAAGTCATTGCGCACATATTAATATTTATTTTAGAATACTTTAAATTTACTTATAACTATACAGTTATTTTTATGAAATAACATGATAAATACCTGACAAACGTAAAAATCGTTAAGATTTCAGAACTGCAGGTTTTTACCCGATGGCAACCCAAAATACATTTACTTAAAGATATACTATGCTCATTCTTGAGTAAAATATCTTAATTTACAGAAATTAATTGAAATATATTAAATCTTACTTAATATGTCTAGTTTGAATACTATGTGTTGGAAGCTGCGTTCACTATTACAATTACTGTAAAGTTGGTCCTTTCTTTAAAAAAAAACTGCCAGTTTTTTAAATGACACTATACACGTATTTACTTATTGTGACCACATGCAATTTGTAGGGTTTTTAACATAACATATCTACTTCAGGTGAAGTCAAAACATGTTTGTTTAATACTTACAAATAGACTGTGTAGCAATTATCAATATTGACTTAAATATATCAAATTTGAGCTATTATATCTTTAAATATCGAGTGGTCATGTTTAGATTTTCCGTGTAGATGTAAATAATTATTGTTGACAAAGTATGTTTTTTTTCTAAATTTTAATGATTTTCGACATTGTCCAACTTTTTCATTAGCGATGTCATGTGGTCTAAATATTTAAGAAAGAAATCGAAAATTGTGAAATAGGTTTGACATGAATTTACAGCTTAACCCGTGTTCTTACTTACTTGTCATCTACAAAGAAGTTGAATTGATTGAAAATAAAATGAAGTGAGATGACATTTACTGCATTTTATTACATTCCCCATAATATTTAATTTGTGGTTCAACACGGCACCAAAACTTTTGCCTAACTGAACAGATTGCTATTTGAAACATCTGTTATTATGAGGAATAGGCCTACATTGGCATTGGAGTAGTTTTTTATATAGTCACAATTTTTGTGACATGGTAAAATTAATAAAACGTTTATCACTTACATATAATAAGCAACAAATACATTTTTAATTACTTATACATTGACATTTAAAGGGCACTAAGTAAGACTATTTAATTGCACAGTGATGCATCTTAGTATCGACGTCATCTTGAACTCAGCTTAAATAATTCAAAAGTTACAGATCGAAAATAAGTAAGTACTCAGTATTGAAGCAGAACTAAGTTGACACCTTCATAACTTTAGAATCCAAAGCGCGTTCATAAGAAGCATATAAACGAACATTGAGGTTCATTTCTCGATTTTGACCTGAAAGTGAGTTTGACCTCAAAGAACGTTTGAACCAAAAAGCTTTCGACCACAAAATTCGTTTGACCTCAAAGTGCGGTGTTTACATGGCAATGTTATCTGTATAACTACACTTGTATATACAATGTGTATACGAAGACTAATTAAAAAGTTCTTGGTCCGATGTACTTCCGGTTGTCCGAGTACCCAACTTACCGTCTTACTTTACAATATAATCGCCCTCTACATCAATACACTTTAACCGCCTGTGCTCCAACTTGTTTAACCCTTCAAAATAGAACTCTCTATTTTGGTCCTCAAAGAACTCATTGTCAGCCGACATGGACACTTTCATTGCTTCCAAAACGTCTACCACGAAGCTTGGTTTTCAGTTTCGGAAACAGGTAGAAGTCAAAGGGGGTCAAGTCCGGTGAATATGGGGAATGGGGAAGAATTTAAAAGCCGCTGTCAGTTGCAGCAGCCATCGCATTTTGGGATGTGTAAGCAGGTGCATTGTCAGACAGGAGCAGAACGCCTTGAGTCAGTTTGCCCCTCCTTTTACGCAGGATTTCTTGACACAGACGTCACAATTCGTCTGCATAGTACGTACCGTTTATGGTACGACCTTGCTGAAGATAGTCAATCATGATTATCCCTTGACTATCCCGAAGAATTGAAGCCATCATCCTACCTGCTGATGGCAACCTCTTGAATTTCTTCGGAGGGGATAAGCCAAGGTGCTTCGACTGCATGCTCTGTTTATTTTGATTCCGGATCAAAGTGATGGACCCATGTTTCATATGGGAGATAAAATCAGGTTCATCCTCATATCGAAACAAAAGATATTTTGAAATGTCAAGCCTGGTCTGTTTCTGGTCGTCAGTCAACTGTCTGGGGACTCATTTAGCGAAAATCTTTGACATGCCATAGACATCAGTAAGAATTGCCAGAACTGGACAAAAGCTTATACCCACTTCCCTAGCAACGCTTCGCAGGTCTCGCCTTCTGTCGCACATGACCAGATAGTGCACATCTTCGGCAGTTTCGTCGTTGGTGGCCTCTTTTGGCCTTCCAGGCCGCTCATAATCTCCAATGCTCTCCCTGCCCCTCTTAAATTCAGCAGCCCATTTTTTTCACAATGCAATAGGAAGGAGACTCCTTGTCAAGTATATCCATGAAGTCTTCATGGATTTCCTTGGGGGACATCCCTTTCTAACAAAGGTACTTAATGACGGCTCTAATTAACTTTCTCCATTTGATCTAAATGACACACCCTTCTACTGATCAAAGTGTGTTTTATGTTACTTAATCTGTGTAAAACCGTCTGTAACTCGGTCAGTAATCTTCAATAAGATATCGGTATCGACCTATCGTGTGTAAATGCCAGTGTAGTGGCTAGAAGGATGTCGGGCCGAGAACTTTTTGATCATACCTTGTACTTTTCATGAAATCTTTGACCGCATGTTGTACTATTACCTATATCATTGACATTTAGAAAACTGAACGTTTGTCTCATGTTTTTGAAATTTGTCGAGGAAACTTAAATATCACTCATTTAGAGCAAGGGATGTTTCATTTGTCTTAAATGTTAGCTTACATATCCTTGACAGTGGTCTAGACAGCTTCCTTATTATAATTATGATATAAAATATTAATTGAAATTTTAGTTGGACACAGATAATATTGCTCTAAAAAGGTCATTCTATTCTACTAACAACCTTTTCCAATATAGAGGTGGATGTATTTTACTCCCACGTGTTTTACATAGGCACGAGTATCGGACCTGAGAAGAAAAAATATGACCAGATTGAAAAAAAACTTGAGTTCCTCTAAAAAGTGTCAAAAACCAAAAACAAATTGTAAACTATGACCCCCTTTAAAAATATACTATAAGTTAACTTATTGTATACATTTTGTATTTTTAAAGGGGGTCATAATTTACAATTATTATTAGTATTTTTATTTGTTTGGGTCGTCAGACCAAACAAATAATGGTAGCGAAATTTCAGACTCTACTGCTGTTAATTGCAAGTGCCGAAAGCAGACCACTTTTTTGAAGTGGTTACTTCCCTTTATATGTAACACTTAGGCCGAAAAATTTAGGGGAGATCACTGCGTAAATATGGTCACATGACAGGCGGATTAATTTTACAAGCAAACTAATTCCCAAATGGTCGACGATTTCTAATATTGTTTTATTCTTTATAGATATACATGCTTATATAGTAAGTGCCATGATTATTTACACAAGTGTTAAACAACAGTTTGCGTCGTTTACAAACCCTAACTAGAATAATATGGTTTTCTTCAGGCTATTAACGTGTAAATCCACCGTTTCTGACGGGTTTGCGCGCTCGCTTAGGAAGCGAGAGGTCTGGAGTTCAATTCCCAGTTAAGGCAAATCTTTTTTTTTCAAATTGTTTAAGTCAAATAAACATTGGATCGAATATCAATGTTGCTATTTTATAGCCAATCTACTACAATTAAAACGCTGGAAAGCATTAGTGGCACTGTACAAAAACAAATTGTTTTATATTCTTACAACCTTCACTTTCTGAAATTCTGAGACCCAAACAAATCCAGCGCCTTCTGTGCTTTGATTTTCTTTGGTTTTTTGACACTTTTAAGATGAACTCAAGTTTTTTTTTCAATCTGGCCAGATTTTTTTCTTCCCAGGTTCTATACTCGTGTTCTATAGACGAGGATAATAAGATGTTTGGTTGGGACAGGTTGAAATATTGTACAGTGTACGGGTTTCTGGATTCGGCTGTCCCGTAGTACAGTGGTTGGATAATACAGGTATATTGTTCGAGTACCAGTTAGCCGACCAGCTGTTCTATATTATTTTTACTTTTAATTAGTATACATTGTTCCCATTAAACAAGCATATTGTTTAGCTGTAGAGAGGAGTTTACATCGAGGTATTACAGAGCAGTAACAATAATAAGGAAGAAAATAAATAATTGATTTATATGATTTATTAAATAAATAAATTAGTTTTGAACATATGCTTCAAACTTTGTTGCAAGTTGGAATGATTTTGTCCTGTATCTACCGAAAAAAGGTTGTTGGAAAATCTTCGGGTTGATTTTTGTCTCTTGTAGATAACAGTAAGTTTAAAATATTCTCACAATATGTGTAAATCTGCAAAAGAAAACAATTTTGTGTGACTTCTTTAAACATAGCAACTACATTTGGTATTTGATTATCTATCATTTTCACTAATAACGAATCTCAACTTTTCGGTCCTTTCCGTCAGTCTTCGGTTATAATTTATATAACAGCGGAGGGCGTTCTGATTATATGTTTAATAGTCGTTCTGTCAATTAAATAAAATAATTATTATTGTGAACGTTTGTAACGTGGAATTTCATTGGACAATGATCAAATTCTTAGACTAGTAAATTACAGGATCTTGCACAGTTTTAAAAGTGAAATTTTAGATTAAAATGCAAAAACATACATTTCAACCTGGAGATTTTGTTAGTCATGACATCACTTCATCAAACTACCGGTCACGTATTTAGAAAAAAAGTGAACGTACCATTTAACCAGCTAAGAAGGTGACACCGGCTGGTGTTGTAGATGTGCTGGTAGATGTTGTTGTGTTGAACAAGTTGCTGTTGAAGAGGATCAAGATCAGGAACAAAAAGCCAATCAGCATCACTGAAAATATATGAACAGATATATGTGACGAATTAAAATATGAATAAGTATTAAACAACGGTATATTATTGTATCCTTCAATTCAAAGGTTTTGGCTAATATGAAAATGGTCTCTTACAATCTATAGAAAACAGTCTTGCAGTGATGTCTAGTGATGTCTAGATATTTGTATGAACATTTGCGAGAGTTCCTGTTAAATATTGTTTAGATCTTGTTGATACGTTTTATCTGCATTTACTATATATCCAGCAATAAATTGTGTAGAATATACTGGCAATACTTATACCACTGTATGCCTATGAATTAAGTGATTTTAAGAAAATAATTTGAGCCAATAAGGGAATATTGCATTAAATGACCCGAGCCACAATGAGAAAACGTAATCCAAATACAAAAAAAATGTATATACTTCTTCTTCTTCTTCTTCTTCTTCTTCTTCTTCTTCTTCTTCTTATAAGTAATCTAAATGCTCTTATATATTTCACCCTATCTAAATGTATTTTTAACTAGACAAAATGACTTACAGAAAGTATTGTCATTTAACCCGGCACCACCGGCTCCTGGATGTACCGGCACGTACTGGTAACCACCGTATCCCATACCGAGGGTGACACCGAGGACACCGAACAAGGCGACGAGGGCGAGGGCTGTGATCTTCATGATACTAGAATAGATGATAAAAGAAACAAGGCATTGAAAAACAATTTTATAATAAGTGAAATATTTAAGCTTTTATGTTATTACTGCACATACCACCTAATTGCTATTTTACTTAAATTTATAAATTCTTCCTAATTCAAGCATACGGAATTTCATTTTTAATATCACTTTGAATATCAAAATTGTTAATAAGTTTTTGATTGAAACATTTTACATTTAATGTAACCATTACTATGCTAAATATCTTGAATTGACTTGTCCATCTTTTAATGTGGATAAAAATATATATATTTTTTAGGGAAAATATCGAAATAAGTACTGGCTGAATAACGAAATAGTAGTCTATAATGAGAGGGCACTATATTGTGCCGACTGATCTTGGTCTGCACTGTTGCCACGAGCAGGCAAAACGTTATCGTATATGTCAACTTATCACATGCTTATATGACGAGTATAATACTTTATATATTGTAAATTGACATTATTTTGTAAAAGTCTGATTTCTTTTAGTTCTGTTTTATTTTGTTCGTATGGATATCAAAGTTAACAAAACAACAAATATAGATGCATTTTAACACGTTTTTGTATCAGATTGTTGCGGTAGGAGAGCAAAAATTTATATTTATATCCAAAAATAAATTAATTCTTAAAATTAAAAATAAATAAAAATGAATAAAAAATATACATTGATAAAAAAATTAAAAGTTTAGAAAAACTTACCAGATGACTTTAGACTACAGGAGAATAGTGATCTATACCGCGCGCGCGCGTTCGTTTTATTGGTACAGATTCCGACTTCCGGGTAGTTTAAGGTGTGACCCGCCTGTCAATACCCATCCCCAACATGTCAGGGTACGTCGTGTGATAGCTTATACTATGATGAAATTATAAGTAACGGTAAAATAAGTTAATGTCATTTTATGTCATTTAAACAAATTAAGAAAATTGAGCAAAATGTGATCCGACGTGGGGGGTTTGATGAAATATAGTTGATAAATCAGGCTGGTCGGTATATTTTGAAGTCGAAATTAAGGCCTCTGATATTTTATCAATTACAAAATGAAAGATCCGAGAAACAAATATAAAACAATTTTCAAAAAATGAAAAATAAAATGGAAATGATTCGGTAAAATCTTGGCGGTGATATTTCCCAGAATTTTCTTTTATTTGATATAATTTACTTACTGACATTCCATATGAAAACGTACACAAGCTCTGATTGGCCAAACTATATCGTGGCACTTATTTATCTTGCTGGTATAATTGTTTGGACTTAATTTTTTTATCGCAAGTGTTAAAGCAACAAGCCAATGAGACTGATTCTAATTTTCATGAAAATCTAAAAGATTTATTTAAATGAAAAATATTTACAAGTGAAAAAAGAAAGTAACTTACACGTTGGAAAATGACACTTTAATTTAAACAAAACAAAAAATAGGTCAGCATATGCAAAAATAGCCCTTACTGTGTTAGTCATGCAGTGTCAATATGGTGATGAATACCGCAAAATCACTCATTAATTGTGTATCACATGTAAATCACATTGAAATGTTCTGAATGTTGATTTTCTAGAAATATTTTGGTTCAACTGGAAGCATGCAGCTTTAACGTTACCGTAGTTTGAGACTTGTTGTGAAAAACAAGTCCCTTTATTTAACTAATGTGTACTCTGGTGTCGTATGGAAAACATGGCCGTGCCTCGAAAAAACAATAGCCAGTTTAAGAGTTAAAAAATTGCAGGCTTTATTGGCACGTTTGAAAACAAATGCCAATAATGAAACGAAAAATCGACATTGGCTACATAAATAACGGTCATCATTTTGTCCGGTATATACCGAAATACGGTATTAAGTATGGTGCTCCAACACATTTTTTAGTCTTGTCTTTGCCACAATAAAGGGTCATGCCAGCCGGCACATTAATGCTGTCTTACCAGTGTCTATACTATACCATAAGTCACTCAAGTTTTATATTTTCATTTTGAAATTCCTTGTACTTCATTGAATGGCAAAACTAGGAAAGTCTATTTCTCATACAATGCAGGTTAAGGGTTGAGGGGGAGCGGTAGCCTAGTGGTTAAATTGTCTGCCTCTCAAACCAGGGATGATGGGTTCGAACCCCATACCGGTTATACGGGTCACGATCATGTTTCGTCATATCACATCAGAACTGATCCAGGAAGCGGACTTGAAGATGATTAATATAAGTTGCAAGAATTTGTTTCACAGTCGAGTTGAAACAAATACATGTATGTTAAAACTGACGGTTAATTGATACAAAAATAGAATGCAAAATACATGTATGTTTTTTTCCATAATATTTTCGACTATATTAATCAATAAATAATTTACGTATCAAATCTTGAAAAAATATTTAATATAATTTTAATAATCATATTTTCATAATAGTTTTAAACATAAATAAACTCCACATAATCATTACATGAAAATCGAGAACATTTTCGAAAATGATTTAATTATGAAATGAAGAACACCAATCTGAATGTAAAAAAATCATCAATAAATCACCAATCTCATAACAAACATTAAAGCATTGCTTAATATCGAATTTTTAGGGTATTCAAAAAATAACGCAATATTTACTGGAACCTTTTCGAACATAAAATTGCAGGCTTGTAAAAAGTAAACATTTTAGTGGACGAAATATTGTGAACATTCTGGCCTTTTCCCCCAAAAAGATGTGCCGATAGACACAATCAAACATGCAAAGTGTAATTTTACTGTTTTTAATGCTACCGAGGTATCACTTTTTTCCGGTTCCGAGGGATCACTGTTTTCCAGGTATCAATATTCCAACAAATATGTCTTTGTCTTAGATATGTCATAACTGAAATTCTGAAAAAAGAAAATAAATCATGACCGATTATTATCATTGCTGGTAGCTTTAATTAAGCTGGTTCAGTAATATACATGTGTTGTTAATTTTTCTATAGGTCTCATTCATTTACACACAATATTCAACTATGCAAATAGTGAACTATAGGAAAATGAACGTGGCCATTTCTAAAGAATTGTAAGAGACATTTTACATAAATATATGGACAAAATGTTAAACTGTTGCTTATATAATAAATAATTATTACTTCAACCACACAATTATATGAACATTGAAATTGTATCTTCTGTAATAAATTGTTGGAAATGTACGAAAGACCGATTGTGACATTTCATATTCTCGAATGCTCGGGTTCATCTTCACAAATTATTGATTAAACTTCATGAATTCACGATTTCAACTCTATTAATTCAAGATTTCAACTTCACAAATTCGCGATTTCAACTTCATGAATTCACGATTTCAACTTCACGAATTTACATTTTCAACTTCACGAATTCAAAATTTTAACTTCACAAAGTCACGATTTTCACTTCGTCACTTCGGGAATTCACGATTTCCACTCCGTGAAGTTAAAATCGTTAATTCGTGAATTTGAAATAGTGAATTTATGAAGCTGAAAACGTGAATAAGGGAAGTTGAAATCGTGAATTCTTGAATTTGAAAATCGTGAAATTGAAATCGTGAATTCGTGAAGTTGAAATCGAACAATGGGCCTTACTTACAAGAACTTCTGCTGAAGAAACTCTTCAGTTTAAAAACAAATGCCACGACACCTAACGCCGTGAATATCCAATCAATTGTCACCGTGGCAACAGCAAATGTAATGAACGATTTGTCGCAAATGTCTTTTAAGCATCCAGTAGTTGTATAATCATCACACTTTACAAAATCTACATCATTTAATTTTCCGAAGTTCGGGTATGTCCATACACTGCCTGGAAAACAAACTTTTGTGTCAACATTTGAGCCGTGTCATGACAAAACCAACATAATGGGTTTGCGACCAGCATGGATCCAGACCAGCCTGCGCATCCGCGCAGTCTGATCAGGATTCATGCTGTTCGCTGTCAGTTTCTCTACTTGTAATAGAGTTGGCAAGCGAACAGCATGGATCCTGATCAGACTACGCGGATGCGCAGGATGGTCTGGATCCATGCTGGTCGTAAACAATTCAATTCAATTCAATATTTTATTTGGCATTAAACTACATATAGCATATAGCCATTATTACATAATATAGGTAAAGTGTAAGACATTTTTACAATAAATTGTTCATAAAACAGTACAAAATGTTTTCAGAGAAGTTATTAACAATATATCTTCATGAGATTTAGCAATTAACAATATGAGATATATACTTAACATTGAAATAAATTGTTATTGTTGTCCATATGAATATATATGTATACAAATACAGTCATACAATATGTTTTCAGATATGTTATTTACGGTATGTCTTTATTTAGATCTAACAATAAACAAGTTAATCAGAGTTTCTTACTTTAAGTGAAAAATATAAATATCTTGACAAATTATTAAGTTCTTTTTCATTTTTAGATGACATTAAAGTTTCCATTTTTTGAAGTGTAGGCCAACGGCAAAAATATGGTTTTAAAAATTTCTTACGAAGGTTATAATATTTTGGACAAACGAGTAAAAAATGGAATTCGTTTTCAATGACATGCATATTGCATTGTTGACATAGTCTATTTTCTCTTGGAACTCCGTTGTGCCTACCAATTTCAATTTCTAGATTATGTGATGATAGACGAAATTGCGCCACTATGTTGGTTTTGTCAAGACACGGCTCATTTGTTGTTTGAGCAAATATTAAAGCCGAAATATGATATACCCTGTTTTATTGACTAATAAGAATCATTTTCTACAGAAATATGTAAATCCTAATTTCGTATCTTTTGCGTGATCTATGAGATAAAGTTCTTTCTTTTTTTTTTGAAAGATTTGCCTCTGATACTGTTCCTATTCATGCTTGTAACGTTTTGGATTAAAGGGACTCCACTGAGTTTTTTTTATATTTTTACATAAAGGGAATGGAATTCTTTTGTGACTTGTGAAGTATATGATGTAGGTATAGACTCATAACTTGTATGCAAAATTTCAGACCATTCCTACTCTCGGATTCCGCTTACCCAGAAAAATTATTTAAATAAAAAATAGAATTGCGTTACAACGCTTTCCACTCAAACGGGTTGAAAATCGTGCATAATAAATTATTTTCAATTCAACTCTGAGCATACTTCTTTATGCCCTTCTGTAGATTTTCCATGCTAACACGTCATATTACGTCAATACACAAAAAGACGTCAAGAAAATTACTTCTAAAACTACTTCTACGCCCACTCATGTTTATTCACATAATTTTTATGAATTCTCTCTTTGTTTTTATTTGCATATTAATTTTTTCTTGCATAACAGTATAATAATACTTGGCCTATCGGCTTTCGTGATTATAGTCCTACGCCTTTGAACTCGAAGCGCGCATTATTCTAAAACAATGCACTCAAAATTGTTATATATTTCCTAAATATACTGTATACTCTTGAGTTATAACTATACATCACCACATATCACCCAGGCGACGTGAAACAAGACGGCAAAAGTTATCGAGGCCAAGGATAATTTTGACTTTTTTTCGTCATCGTCGTCATCGTAACCATAGCCACCGAACAGTAACGGGGACAATCCGCTGACGATCATATAAGCCGCTATAAGGGGTTCTATTGCACAGTGGAATAGATTCATAGAACCTGTTGAAAATATATAATTATATATAAAGTGTACTGAAATAAAATTTATGTATATGTGAGTACTTATTAAGTGAAATTTTAACAATAAATAACCCAAAAGGAAGCGACTGGAGTGATACTTAATAAAAAAAAGTTTCAGAATTTGCCTGTCTATACAATTAGGAAAGGCATCTTTTTGAAAATTGAAGTAATTTCAGTTATAGGTAAATGATGTTAAACACTAAAAAATAAGAATATATAATCAATCATTATAATTAATGAAATGTTTTAATGTTTAAATCTGTAAAATATTCTTTGAGGTGAAGTAACTAAAGGAGATATCATGAGGAAAAAGTACATCTTTCAGATCTGTCACTGAAATAATCTTTTTTTACTACTTTTTTATGAACTTATTTAAATATTTTATCAGTGGCATTGCATGTACATGCCTTACGTAAAACATTCCTACATAAATGGTAAATACATTTTTAAAAAAGTATTGACCATTCTTGCGTAAACAGTACATTACTTCTACAAACAGTTGGGCAAGAATTGTTTGTTTTTTTTAAACTCATGTGATATGACTTACCCAACGCTACCTTTGCTATACTATATCCTACTAGTCCTACGAATAACAACGAAAATAGGCCGCAAATTCCTGTAATGAAAAATAAAAAATTCGACATATACATAATATAAACATTACGACATGTCAATATCACGTCATATCAATACCACGACATTTCAATACCATGACATATTAATATCACAGCCTATTAATATCACGACATGCCAACCGGCATATTAATACCACGGCATTTTAACACCAAGACATATCAATAACACGACATTTAATACAACAGTATTTTAACACCACGACATATAAATACCACATCATTTTAACATCACGACATATCAATAACACGACAAATTAATACAACAACATTTCTATGTAGTATTATACTAGTTTATACTCACCTAAAGCAGCGACAGTTGAACAAAGATTATCATCTTTCTTCTCCTCCTCCTTGACTGTTTCTATCTCCAGTCTCTCTTCAGATTTTCCTCCTTCCATATTCTTCTGACAATTAGCACTTCACCCCAAAAATTTATTTTTAATGCAGCAAATGATGGTTATAATTAAAATATTAGAATGAAATTATATCGCTTTTGCCTATCTATACCTTACTCGATGATAAATGTTATTACAATTTAAAAAGTCCACATATATACTGGACTATGCAAGGCCTTGTTCTCTCACAACTGGCTACCTACAACAAAGAGTTCGTCCTTACCCTTCTCAAGTATTTATGCTAGCTTGACCACGTTTTTAATTGCTATGTTTTCAACAATGAGTACTACTTTAACTTGTTTGATCTAGTTTGGAAACAACACACGTAATCTGAGCAATTAAGTCTCCGGATATATGTACTACATTTGCACTTGATTTGACTGTCATCAAAACAAATTGCGGATATTGTATTCAAAAACACAATCATGCATTAGCAGTGTCAAATAAACATCAACATATTTTGCTGCACATAAATATTTCAATGATCATTTGAAATGCAAAACAATGTTGAAATGATGCTTCAAAAACTTAATATTTATTGCAATAGTTTAATAATTATAACCTTTGTCGTGTTTGGTATTTACGTGAATGTTTCTATCAAAGTATTCCTTTTGTGTTCAATAACCGATAGATATGGTGGCTGATTTGTGCCATGTCGTATTTTTAATCCACGAGGTGTTAGGCAAATACACGAAAATACGACACGGTTATCACTTTGTCGTATTTTCGTGTCTCCGTCCTTCGCTCCGCGTGCGCCAGACAAAAATACGACAACGTGACCATTTGTGTCTTACTTTCGCTTCACGGCGAGCCGGGCGAAAACTCGCAACATGCATAATACCACTTTGCTGCTCTGATTATTGTTGAAGGATCTCAACAGAGGTCCAAAGGACTAAAAACATAAAATTAGAATTACTAACATAGATCAGCTTGGGCTCTAAAAACAGACAGGTACACAAAAGAAAATTTAAATGATACTCAACAAAAGGTAAATCAATAAACGTAATTTTGTACTATTTTAGCCATTCTTGGTCAGTTTTCGCAATTATCGTGGACAAACCAGTTCTCAAACCTCTTAGCATTCCAAAACTCTTTTAATTAAAAAAAATATATCTTTATAAAAAATCTTTACGTGTGTACACTGTAATCTTTGTAAAATTTGGCTGAAATTCAATAATTAAAACAGCTCTATTTCCATCTTTGAAAAGCACATCAACTGACATGACCTCTTAATTTTCAAACGACCTCAAGTATCTCTTATACTGTTTAGTTTAACCAATGAAGTGATTTTCATAATTGAGCCGTGTCAGTCTGCAGTCTGATCAGGATCCATGCTGTTCGCTTACCAACTCTATAACAAGTAGAGAAAACTGATAACGAACAGCATGGATCCTGATCAGACTGCGCGGATGCGCAGGCTGGTCTGGATCCATGCTGGTCGCAAACGCACTATGTTGGTTTTGTCGTGACGCGGCTCATATGACTATCACACGACGTGAAAGTACCCTACAGGATGCAGGTTCAATTAGTTAATGGTGTACAGCTCATGTACAGCTCATTAATGAAAGACTTGCGATTAGGTTGGGTGTGAGATTATGCAAATGATCTGAAAATTTGCAGAAAAGTTATTGATCAAGACCTACATAGAATGGAACATGAATTTTGAAAATTTATTGTCCATCCAGTCACGTCAAAAACCTCGGTATCAATGTATACTTCCCAATATATTCGTTCAAACAAATAAACATTTTTACAATTTACAAATGAAAATGTTACAACGTTTAGAATGCATGAAAGTCCTATTTATCGTCTTTTGAGATGAACAGGACAAGAACCGAAATGTGGTGTTGATATCTATGTCTTTGTTTTCGGCAACCATCGCAATGTGTATATGTACTCGTATATTTTGACGTTATAAAAATATGAAATATAAGATAACTTACACTCAGAATGTATAATTTTTTTGATGAATTATGTGTTTAGTTGGTAAGAAGTTGGAAGACAAAAACAGAAATAAGCACGTGTTTAATAAGTAACACGTGAAAAACGAACTTTAACGCTAAAAATTGTTACATTCGGATAAGTTTTGACAGCTACTGATTAGTTAAAAGGGCGTCCGTGTACGAGTGCCAAACCACTTGCCCCTCACTGCTGTGTGTTCGAATCCTGACAGATACTTTGATTTCTTTCATGTGAGGATTCTTTCCAGCTAGCTTACAGAACGTCGGTGGTTCTACTCAGGTGCCCATTTGTGCCTGAAATAATGTACAGAAGGGCAACCAAGGTCTTCCTCCACAGGTAAAGCTTGAACGTCGCCATATGACCTTTTCTGTGTCAATGTGACGTAAAACCCAATCAAATGATTAGCTAAAATAGTCTTTGTTCCGAAACCAAGTGCCTATAAGAAATACATGGAACAAAATAGAACAAGCAGACAATTAAAACAAGCAATAGAGGATTAATTAAACGAATTTAATGAGACATTGTCAATAAACGAGTGTAAGACACTAGCCAACCCGGACAAAAAGTCCTCTCGTTCAAAAAATGACAAAAACAACAACAAATATATATCTTACAATTTTAATATTGAGTGCATTGAAAACAAACAACAGGTATTTAACATACCATATATTTTTGTTACGGGAGGACTTTTGTCTGCCCTGTCATTTTCACGGAAAGGCTTTTTTACGCCTTATCATTTTTGACTAGATGACTTTTGTCTGGGATGACTTTTGTTCGTTTCCCTAAAAAAACATCTTCATATTGGAGGTGATGAAAATTCTTTGGACAGGGTCAGATTTCACAGACTATAACCGTCTAAATTGGTTTGTGTTTTGATTTCTAAATGAAACACAGCTAACTGTATGTTTATGGCTGATAGATATCATTTGCCAAAAGAGTTGACAGGTGAGGATAGATAAGTTAAGCCGCGTCATGCGGATGCGCAGGCTGGTCTGGATCCAAACCCACTATGTTGGTTTTGTCATGGCGCGGCTCAAGTTATTGTTTACTTTTAGTTCAATTTTATTACAATTAGATTCACTTGAATTTTCAGATTATTACGGGTAAAAATATAAATAACACATACATTTGTGAATAATAGTAAAAAAATCACCCTTCGTAAAATATTCTGTTACCCCTCCACGTATTTTCCTCTGGTAGAGATCTTTGACAGTTTCTTACATACCTATGTATTATCTATATACTGACAAGATTCTCTCATTTTATGCATTCTGTAATATCTTTAATAACAATATAAAGTAATTGACAGCAAATACACTGTATACAGCTTATACTCTTAAAAAGCTTTATAAAAGGTTTGGGGACAGTTAAAAAAACCACACAAAACACAACTATTCATTTTATGACATATTTTGTTTATTAACACATATATAGCTACAATGCATTTAAAATGATGTTTTTAATATTAATTCGAAATGATTGAATATGTATTTTTTTCTCAGTGAAACCACTTACACTACTTTTATTATTATTTTTTATTTCTAAATGATTTTTGATAAGCAAAATCTTTATCATAAATTTTTGTGTTGACGTAATCTTGGCCAAGCAGGCTGTGAAGCAGTTTACCAGTACTAGTTGCTTTCACTTTCGCATGGAGTTAACCACTAATAGTTGCCTCCACTCTTGCAAGGAACTGAAACGTCTGTACATGTCAGTGCAGAGGTACAGAGCGAATCTCCGTAGAAAGGATTTCATGATTCAATACAACGAAAGTGAGCCGCACCGTCCGGGAATCGAACTCGAGTCACTCGATTCAAGGTCCAACGCTCTACCTATTAATCTAACCGGACATCTTGACACCGTTATTACATACTGTTACTTCTGATAATGTCGTTCCGCTCCCTTGCATAGCCTTCATATCAACACTATTTAATCATATAAAAAATATCAATCGATGAAGAACAAAACCATACAAAATATGTAAAAATAAATCAATTTCACTGATAATATCATCATAAAATGTAACCGAAAAAGTTCATAGAGTAAGGACTAAAAACTATTAACAGTATAAATGAATAATATTGCAAAAAGTGTTCAGTGCTTTAAGCACTTTGATTTTCTCAATGTGAGAACAGTTTTGATAAAGTATGACACACTGTCTCGACGACCGTAAAAATCCTCTGCCTTGTTATTCTAACATTCTGGAAAATATACATGATTGTAGTAAGAATGATTGAATATTCATTGTGGAATTTCAACAGTATACATGTAATAGGTGAAAATACACTAGAATAAATTACTTACAGCAAATATTCGAATAATTATGCTGAAAAAAGGGGATAAAAAGCAGAATTAAAAAAATACATTAGTACAATTTTTCTTGTAAAATGTACCACGATACTAAAAGCAAATTTGATCATATTTTGCCATTCCGCTTGAACTACCACTTAAAAATACCATATCATTAAATTTCATATCACCAAGGTTAAAATAATGAGAAATGAGAGAGAAATGTACTTACAACAACTGTCACAACAAAGATGGCGTATTCCATAAGCAAAGCCTGCGATCCCTAAGCCCATGAATACCCAATCAATTGTTATTGAGGCAAATGCAAATGTGATTAAATCCTTGTCGCAAATTTCGTCCAGACACCCGGTGGTCACATTGCCCTCACATCTAGTGAAATCGACATCATTTAACTTTCCAAAATGTGGGTATACCCAAACACTACCTGTAATACAAATGGTACATACAGCTAAACAATTTATTGAAGAAGCAGACCCAAAGGTCATTAAAATTTCTCCAAGGTCAAACTCAAATCTCAGGTATTTGATTGGTCAAAAAGCAGCATAGAATGGTACACTGACCAATGAAAATCCTGAGATCCGAGACAGAAAATCGTCTCTATCGAGTACCGTATCAATGGTTTTGTGCATTTAGCAATTGTTTGCTGCATTAATTGTATAAAATAAATAGCTAAATGAATAAATTTTGTAAATGAATAAATTTTGTAAATTAATAAATTTTTATTATAAATAAATGAATAAATATTGTAAATAAATAATTGTAAAAATAAATTAATTTTGTAGATAAAAAAACATTGTAATTTAAACCATAGAGCTATATTTAATTTCACACTATATTAAGTATCTGTATAAAAAACGTTCATCCAATGAGCAATTTACCGCATATCAGCCAGGCAATGTTAAACAGAAGCCCAACAATACTACACACTACAGATCCCAGGGAGGTCTCTTGTCCCTCCTCTTTGCGTCTGCATCCACCGAACAGAAGCGGTGCCAAACCGCTAACTATCAGGTAGATTGGGATCATCTGTTCTAACGGACAATCATGGATATAAACGCTACCTGTTGGACGAAAGAAAAAAACACGTTGAAATATATCTTTATATATATTAAAGGACAATATAACTCAATCAAAAATAGCAACAACATTTTAATGACAATGTAAGTATGCAAATTTAAAAGTTACTTGTTGGACATATAAATGCAATAAATGATTTACACTCGTACAATATGAAATAAAGATATAAAAATAACATTCTGAGTAGGTTGTTTAGGTTTCATTTTAAATATACATTTTACATCATTTCTGTTTTTCTCTTAAAATGATGGACTATAAAATATGATAAAGAAGATCTACAAGGAAAGGCGGTCATCAAAGAACGCATCCCCAATATAACCAAAAATCACAGACCACCTGCTAGAAACCCAGCAGGACACCAAACAGGACAAAATATGTAACATTATTAAACAAAACAACGGAAGTTTTAAATTGAGACAAATAACATGTCAATTCAATCGATCTGTCGTCAATAGATGATATCTTGATACAAGTATATAAATATATTTACGGATGTGACCACTCAATGCTACAAATCGGAATAGTCGTAAGTATGGTCATAAAATTAATGGGACCGAATGTTGTAACATATATGCTGTATATACTCGTATATATGAATGAAAAAACATGGAAGAAGTTTCAAATAAACAGCATAGAAACATCATATATCATAGAAATATTCATAGAAACATCATATATCATAGACATATTCATAGAAACATCATATATCATAGACATATTCATAGAAACATCACAGAAACATGAAAGAAATATCAAAGAAACATCATAGAGACATCATATATCATAGACATATTCATAGGAACATCACAGAAACTTGAAAAAGTATCAAAGAAACATCATATATCATAGAAATATTCATAGAAACATCATATAAACATGAAAGAAATATCAAAGAGACATTATATCTTTAAAATATTCATGGAAACACCATATATCATAGAAATATGCATGGAAGCATCATGTATCATATAAATAATCATAGTAACATCATAGAAACATCAATGGAAATTTCATACATCAAAGAAAGGTCATAGAAACCTCATAAAAACACTTACCCATTACGATTTTAGCAATGCCATAACCGAGTAGTGCCAAAACTAGCAAGAAAATCACGCAACAGCACGCTGAAACACAAATATCAATGTACAGTCTATACAGTGAACATGCATATTATTATAATGTGTATTTCCATTTATATTTTTTCACGTTTATATTATTCATATACATATGACGTCTGCAAACAATTAAACTAAACTAAAAAGAAAATATGCTTTATTTGAGGACAATCTCACTGGCAAACATTAAAATTAAGAATAAAAAGTAAAAGTCAGATTTATGAACCTTGACTCATGCCATGTAGGTGATGTTTGGGAAGAACCATTTAAGAATAAAGTTTCTCTGTTTTAGAATTCTAGAGCATCAGTGATAATTAAATCAATTTGAAAACATGAACTTTAATATTTAACAGGGAATCATTTTTCAGTTTGTAGATCCCAGATTTATGGATTTTGTATTTTCCTACTATCATACAATGGAATACTTGACGATCATGTATGTTGTAATTACTTAAGTGAAATTTTATATATGTAAAATATTTTTCTTCTAAAACAACTTCAAAACATCTAAAAACATGTAAAATATGTACTGCAATTGTTTATGCACAATATAAGTTATCATTCAAATATATGCATTCATTTCTTATTGGAAAAAAGTGGCTTAGACTTTATCGAAAATAAATTTCTAATGATCTCCCTAGCTTTATTCACATGAAATAAAAATTCGGTAAGATCTTTACAAATAATGCTTTTTGGAACTTATCAAATCGACAAATCTTCATTTGAGCATCATATTTATGATATAAAATCATAAAAATTGAGTTACAGGATCTTAAACATACATGCATACATACATCAACATGTCAAGGACAATAATGTCGTCAATTGTTAAATCAAATTAGACTTACTCATTGCTCCACAAAACTTGCATAATCCATCTCCGTCTGATTTGCCTTTCCCCATTATTCTTTACTATCAATATACAAATAATTCAATAGAAAAAGCGCTGATTCAGCTATTTGTGATATTTAAATAATATAAAAGATTTTCTTTGATTATTTATAAAAACTTTTTCGAAATGAAAAAAAAGCAAAAATTTGTATTGATTTGCATCTGTGATGCCAAATTATTGAAAATAAACTAATTAAATAAGAAAAAGAGAATTACATTTAAACTACACTCTATATCGTAATTTTTCTTTCTGGTCATTAATTGGTTGTTATAATTTGAGGTCAATTGGATTTTGCTGATCTATATGACACTTAACAACAGGATGTTTACTTCAATTACGCGTAATTAAATAGTTTACAAAGACGTATTGTAACACGGATGTATCTTTACGTTCTAAAGTACATGTAATATACAAAATTTTGATTTGACCTGGCCAATGAGTGCAATCATACAGCATGTTCGTAAGTTCAATTAATATACAAAGCTTGAATCTTATAATAATTGGTTTATCTAAATTCAGTTTACGATGTATTTTGATATATTTAAGCAATGTCCTGAACGCTGCTGTTCTAAAGATTAAATGATTTATTTGCTAAACTTATATAAGAACATTCACAAAGCACTTAACACAAAGGATGAACTCACTCGGGGCATCTTGTGCCTTTTAAAAACGTTCATATACGAAGTTGTCTGAGAGAAAACCTTGTCGTTAAAATTGAGGAAAAATTTGGAAGGCATCAGCATATTCTCAAAAGCTTTGTCCAAAAACGAGCTGCTTCTTTACAAAAGATATTGAAGCTGACATATGAACTAAATTTTGACAATTCAACTAAAACAAAACAAATCTATAGACTTATAAATGTAAAGGTTAATAAACAAATGCAGACTTGTAAATACATTGCTTTGCCCGTTTAGTAAATAAATGTTAGAAAAAGTAACGCGTATTTGACCACGAAGTTTACTTTTTATGCTGATGTTGACTGAAACACGGCTGTTATTGAATATTCAGGTTAATTTATGCTTAAATATCTTATTTCGCTTTATTAAGCATTATCAAATCTTTAAAATGTTTTATCTTTAAAAGATCACATGAGCAGCGTATCTTATTACAACTATTTGTCAAAGTACATAGATTTCTTTTCATGAACGTTTTCAACTTTTTACTCCTAAAATATGAAAGGGCATACCCGCTTGTTGCTATCTTCATTTATATATCAATTCAGCTTAACATATTTTTATGACATATTCCATATATTACAATTATTGTATGACACTGCTGACTTCCTCATGAAACATGTGCCAATCAACATATTTTTAGGTTCTGATTGCGATACGACGTTATACTCGTATGTTCAGTTGCAATCATAACGCTAGACGGCGGAAACCATATTAAATCAAAGGGCTGCAAGCTCTGTGGTATTTTCTGATCTTTCCTGTAAGTTTATTTTTTATATACTATTATTCATCTTACGCAGCGACTGCGTTTAACAGTTTGTGATTGATACATATGGAATTTTGCATGCCTAGAGTTGCATCAAAAATCATTTTTCATTTTTTATTACAGCCACACTTTATCCTTGCATATCGTGGCTACTTCCTTAAAAAAGACACTTCAAAAAAAAATGTTGCCTCGACAAGGATTTTAACCTTAGGCCTCTCACACCCTAAACGAGCGCGCTACCTCTGCACCACAGTGAAGTAATACGTATGTAGCGTGAATAAAAACAAATATATTGTAATTCTAAAATTGAGAATTTTCATTTCGTATTTGTAATCCTTATTAATTTCGAGGTATTTTGTTCACGATAAACCTGTTGTTAAACACTGATGAAAATAATTTAGCGAAAATCTTCTCGCCAAAACAGTCCGACAAGTATTCCATTACTCGACAGTCACATTTATTTGTGTACTACGCTCTGGAGTATTCGGTAATCGACATAGCTAAAAATAGCATTTTCATTGATTAAGCTTTACGAAAATAGCCGAACATTTTTCATTGGGTAAAAAAGATATTCATCCGCGAAATTTGTGATTGTAACCTCATATTTCTATTGACTACTCTAAACTTTTAATGCACTGTAATTCGTAAATGCATACATTAAAAATTATTCTTTATTTTAAATTGCTGGTTTTTAAGCAGTTCTGAGTGAGAACTACTTTGCGTTGTTAGGTCTGTTAGGAAAATTTGTGTTAGACCGTGGATGTTAGCTATGTATTTACTGATCTTGCGATCAGAAAATACAAAAATCACATTTATTTGTGTTTAATAATTTCTCCCGAAACTGGTACATTGCAGAGCATTTAGTATCTTTAAACACAAATTATAAATATGTTGTTATATACATTGTATCAGATGTATTCCCGCCAACCCTAGGAGTAAGCGGGAACTTTCACGTTTGAATTCTCAACTCCCGGCTCTACCGGAACAGTTGAATGGTAAATATTTTTCACAAACACACTGCGAATTAAGCTATATCATCTGCCATATTAAATTTGTTAGATATTACTGAGATTTTCATCAAATACTTAGTGAGCAATTTTCATGGAGGAGCAATTTTCATGGAGCAAAAAGTGTTCTGTGTGTAATGTTCATTTGTTCTTCATGGAGTGAGAATGTAATAGAAAGAGCATCGAAACACGAGGCTATCTGATTTGTACGAGGGGGCGTAGCCCCCGAGTATAAATCAGATTGCCGAGTGTTTTGATGTTCTTTCTCTTTTGTATCATAGTCAAACATAAAACACGTTCCCTGATACTACAATATGAAACCCCACAAAAAAGTAACCAATGAACGAGCATCTGAATAAGATATCTTTCTCTGTCGTCACAATATGTAAACCCCGGACAAAATGAACCAATCAATGGGCATGCTCTGGAGTGCGGGTAACTAATACCTGCACTCCAGTTAACGCACTGTGCATGTATATCTATACGATTTACCTCTGTCACGTTTTCAACAGAAAGGTCCCCAAACTATGATACAATAAGTAGTTAGTTAATTGTCATATTCATTTGCCGCACCAACACAGAAAAGGTGAAATGGCGGTTTTCAAACTTTATATAGTTGGAGGAAGACTTCAAGTGCTATTTCGTGCATGATTTCAAGCACGAGCGGGCACCTGTGTAGAACCACCGACGTTCCGTAAGCTAGCTGGATAGCGATTAATGTTCAAAGAGTGACAAGTGACTTATATACATGTAGAGTAAGTACAGGTTTGTAAGTAATATTTCTTATGAAAGTAGTGATCAGAATAAACTCTCATACTGCGAGGAGTGGTCAGTGTTTAATGTTTAGTGAGTTATGTTCAGTGCTCATTATGGATGTTCAATTTATGAGAAGTTGTTAGCGATTACCGCCATTCTATGAATGAATATTATTCATGATAAAAAAAGTGCTGCTCATGTATTGACTAGTGAGTACTATTCCCATCATAATTTGTGATAAGGGAGTTTCTTAATTGCTATTTTCTGTAGTGATAAGTAAAAAATGTTAATATGGTAAGTAGTGGTTAGTGCGTAAAAACGTTTAATTTTAACCATGCGATTGTGTGTTTTTAGTTTTTTTATAGCTCGGCGCCGGAAATTCGATATGTCCGAGATCTCAGCGTCCATGCCGGTCCACTCTAGAAGTCACATCGGGGACGTCTTTTTCAAGCCGATCTTCCTTAACCTGTTCTACGTTCGTTGGAAGAAAATACAATACTGGCAAGGCATCATGTTCCGTGACGGCAGCAAACAGGCGGTTAACATAAAACGGCCATTGTTAGTGCCACCCTCCCGAGACGACTTGACCTGCCTTCTCCACGACGTGCACGTCTCGGGAGGGAAGTTCAACTTAGTGTTGAGATGCGTTACAGCTCGTTGACAAATTCCAAATAAAATCCTAACAAAGCAGTTTTGCAATAGGATGTGGTCGACAATAAAGCAGCTATCATAATGCCAAACGCATACAGTATATCAAGATGTAATTGTACATGTATTTCTACACTGTACTTTATTATTGTCATGAGTCATTCTATAGTTTGCCTTAATAGCATTTAGATGTATGCAATTTTAAGTTAAGATGATATTTGTTATAAACAATATGTATTGTCATGTGGCAGAAATTCTTTCAATTTAAGAAAATAAAATAACCTCCCCCTCCCCACTCCGCCCACCAGAAAAAAAGCATAAACATGTCATAAAAGTAAATTCGTGTCGCGTATGTTCTTTCCATCTAAAATTCATTCCAGAATGAGACCACCAGTCTTAAAGCATCTTTATCCATGCAGCGGATTTTGATGATAAAGCAGGAGGAGAAACAAATAACATTTTACTTTAGGCCTGATTGCGTAGTATCTTTATCTAACAATTTCTTGATATAAAATGTGTTTTCTTTTAAAGTAAGATATAATTGTTTTCTGTGTGATCATTATCCTTAAACAATTACTTCAATTCAGTACTTTGATTGATTTCATAAAGCGACCTAAAAAGGTTTTCAATTCATTAAGTTGAATACCTTATTTTCAATGGAAGTTCAAATGACTCGAAATACATCTTTGCAAAAGGTAAAACTTAAAGAACGCGTAAAATGTCAAAAATGAAAACGTGAAAAGGATAAAATGTTGCAGCGTAAAAGCGAAACTTCATCAGTATAAAACAATTAAATAAACAAGATATACAGTATAAAATGTATAAGAAAACACCGCGAGCTTTTTTACAATTTTATTTTTTAGCTAAATAACAAAAATCAAAGATATGGCAAAACTGAAAAAAATGAAGATTTGGTTTAATTGAGCTATTCATTAACAGAAGTGTGAGATATTGACTGCCGTCCACGCTCTCTATCACCGGCTTTAAGTAGAGCCCTAAAAAGTTTGACAAGAAGTCAATTTTCAGTCAAAATACGATCATGAAAGATACATCCAAATTATGGCCCCTCTGATGATAGTCGTTTTTTACATCATTACGTACTGAAAATAATAATAATAATAATAATAATATTAATTGAACTCAAGATGCTTTAAAAAAAAACAAATTACCCCAAACCAAATAACTAAACTACATGTACATATGTATATATGTGTGTGTGTTATGGACAAAGATTCATAAATAGTAAAGAAGAAAACATCTTCATTAAAAATTAACAACAACAAACAAACCAAAAAACTTCAAAATAAACATTTTGCCGGCTCGCCACGGCGAGCCGGTATTACGGTAGGATTTTACTGAGAAACAACCTAAAACTCCGAAGCTATCCAAAAATTTAATCGAAGCTTGGCTTCCAGCTTTCTACAAAATTTATCTATCAGGGCTAGGATCCAAAATTATTTAGCCAATCAAATTTAATCTTACATAGCGTCAAAAAACCTTCAATTTTCACGCCATTTTTAAAAATCAGCAAGTATTGTTTTGAGCGGAAAGATATAATGATGATTAAAATGTTTGTCTTTATGAATTCTTTTCAATAAATCATATTTACACTGACTTCTGATTTAGCGATTTCACCTGTTTTCTCTGTAGTAAGTTTTCGTTTGGTTAATTAACATAAGTGTACATCTGGTTCTGTGCATTTTTTATTTTTCCTTTTTTCCGGTCGTTTTATCCTTTCCGGTATTTAGTGTATGTATTTACTGGCCGGGATCCGGGACGCCCGGGATCCGGGATCGTATAAGATATGGAGGAAAAACCTAATGAACTATATTTGTGTTGATTGTTGTCGTAATGAAAGGCCATTAAACGTTATTTTTTTATTATATATAATGAACGTTAAATTAATTTAACTTAGAATATAGATATATTTAGAGCTATTTATTAACAAACTTAAAATGCGGAAATCACAATACTTATAATTATATGCCTGGCTGAATTGATTGACAACTTGTGTTTACTTTAGGACTTGTGCCTCTCATTCCAATACTAAATAACATACATGTATTACAACTTAATTTTGTATAAAGAGACATCTTTATGAAATCTACCTATCTAACATTTTGTGGTCAAGGTCAACAGGCCATAGAGTAACTGTGCATAGACATAGGTTCTTCATTCAATCTGTTTACATGCACCTTCATATATACTCATACTCATCTTGGTTTAACTGAGAGAACTTTATATGTCACTTTCAGTCATTGAGTTTAAGATTTTGAACTTACTGGCCCGAATTCCAGTTTTGAATTGATTCTACTAAATAATTAACAGAATTTTCTTAAATTTACATTGGCCTGAACTTATATACACTGGCCATCGGGCACCGGGCCAGTGTTGACTTCACTTTTATTTTGATGTTCGCTGAAGTCTCTTCAGCTAACAGAACTGTCATTTTTACATTTAAACACACCCCTTGAAAAAAATTACGAAGCGAGTCGCTACTAGCTTTTTTAAAAGCTAACCTTGTTACTGATATTGTAGTTTTACAGTAATATAGAGAGGGTAGGACACTAAACCTTGTAGTTTCGAATTCATGTTATACGATACACTATGATTGGTTATCAAATACCTGTTTCTGCGCGCGCATCGCACATGCCAACCGTACTACCAGTTGTGTCCACATACTCATCGTTGACCAGTTCACAGTTATCATGGCAAACGCAAACGATCTCAGTGTGTTATTGCATTGTCCCTGTGAAGCCCAGTTTGGATATATCCATATACCGCCTACAAAAATACATTGTATGTAAATGTTTGTGCATACAAAATTCAAAGTTGATTGTGATTAACACGTTGCCTATACCACGTGACTTTTTCTGATTTGCGTGGGGCAGAAAAAAAAGTCGGTCCAGAATTTATTCTCCTCAATAACTTGTTTACAATCACATTCAAGCGAAGAACCCAAATTTTTGTGTGAAAAAAATAAATATTTCTGTCGAAAAGTCAAACAGCGCGAATTTCTGATTATCCAAACATGCGATTTGTAAATCACTTTAAGAAGTAATTTTCCCCCAGGATACAGAAAATACATTTTAATGTATATATCCAAATATAAAAATTAATAAATATTAGTGTACGTGTTTATGAATCATATAAACGTCACGACAGACCAATGAAAATCGACAAATTTGCTGTGATATTTAAAAAGAATGATATTACCGCATATGCACCATATAACACTAAGGAATGATCCAATACAAATAGATATATATCCCTTCATTTTTAAACTGTCGCTGCTATCCTCCTTTACATGAGACCAAAATCCACAGAAGAATAATGGTATAAATGCATCTAGAATAAGCCATACTGGGATTAACGGCTGCACATCACAGTCATGCACGTACGTTGACCCTTAGAATAGAAGAGGGTAATACATGTATATGTATTTATTAAAACAATATTTTTAACAACAACAACAACAGCAGCAACAACAACAACAACTAAACAAATAGAAAACAAATAGAAAAACAACAAACGACAATAACAACATTTATAACACATTTTCACTGATCAATAAACATCATCATCATCATCATTATCAACTACAACAACAGCAGCAGCAGCAACCACCACCACCGTCTAGAAGAAATATCGTTTCTACCAACCCTTACCCAACTGCCGCAGGAGGGAGACAAAATGCGATACAATTCATTTTGACTTGATAAAAAAAATATTATTTTTGTCATAGTTTCCGAACTATCAAAATTGTGTCAGGTTAAACAAATAGCTGTTATCGAGTTTATAAAGTATGTATAAAGTTACCCACTTACCTATAACAAGTTTTGTTACACCAAGAACTACCCAAGCAACTGTTTGAGCTACTAGCAAATAGTAGAGAGCTGCAAACCAAATAAATTAGTAAATAAAAACATGCCGGTAGTTAGAAGTAAACGGCAGCACATGTCATAATATCTAAGACATGTGATGAGTCACGTGATATATGTGATACAGTTTATGTTACATAATTATATTCGTAAGCCGTCTGGTTAGCTCAATAGGTAGAACATTGGACTGTGAATCGGGCGACCCGGGTTTGATTCCCGGACGGCGCTGGTCACTTTTGTTGCGATTGATCATGAAATCCTTTCTACGGTCATTCGCACTGTACCTCTGCTCTGGCACGTACAGAAGTTTCAGTTCCTTGTGATGGTAAACTGCTCTGGTGAATTCCATGTGGCTTACTGCCGTGTTCCGGAGTGAAAACTACCAACACCACCACCACCATATATACTCGTATTTAAGTTCTAAAAAAAAACTCTCTTGAAGGCACATAAAGCCTACGAAATCAGTTTTAGTTAAATCTGTAGAAAGGGCAATTATATTTAATTTTTTTGATTGCTGATAAAGGTAGCGAAATGTAAACAAAGTGATATTTTGACTTGTCTTCCATACAAAAATCTAAATCATCAAAACGCGAAGGGAGCAAAGGATATCTCATCTATATATGGTCAAGAAGTAAGATTTTGGAATCTGTTACAGGACATAAAATATAAAATTTTAAAAATGAAAATATATTACGATTTTTAGTCTTAATAAACATATTAAACACGTTCTAAGTTTTAATGTGACAATAATATTATTTAAATTTGATATCCTTATTTTAAACTAAGAAACCGTGTTTCACAAATAGAGTGAGTGGCAACTCATAAATAAAAAAGCTTTGCTTATAACGGATTTAATACTTTCATCAAAACTTTTTTTTTTAGCTTATTGTATAAAAAGGTGTAAGTAGATGTATTTTGCATTACCTCTGGACCCAAGGAAGGTCAATCTTTTTGGCTCAACGTGTTTGTTTAAGTCAATATTACTATCTTCCATCATATTGATTATATTTTACCTCTTTAGATCTACATAGAAATTAATTTAATTGAAGTATTAAACGTTAAACATTGCAGTCATAATGTAATATGATGTTTAAGATGACATGTTCATAGCCTTATGTCTATTTGAAAAATGAATAAATAAATAAATTAATTAATAAAATCCTCTAAAACACAATATACATACAACACTGTAAACGTAAGATGTGAGTTATACCGCTGATAATTTTGCTATATAGGCCTATGCAACCTTATTTATGGTTTTAGTATGAACTCCAAATTAGATATCGTATTTCGTATCTAATGCTGATTACATTATCAGATCGTTCATAACAATATGATAATAGAATTGTTATAAGGATATCAACATTTTAATGAAATGTATAAATTTAATCATATAGTTTCCCTCCCTATTTTATAAACAATTTATTTTGTTACATGTAATTATTGTATAGATCTAACTGGTTACAATTAGTTAAAATATTGAGAGAAGCAAAGAAAAAAAATAATGTAGAATAGAACTACAAAATGTATACAGTACAGTACTGTACTGTATACAGTATATCCACGATAGTGTAATACTGTGTATACTGTAGAACTTAGTATCTAGAGATGTCTTTTATTAGATCTAATCAAGATATTTTATATTCTACACAGATCTAAATTACATTACCCTAGTCTAGTTATCGTGCGTATATCCTACATGTATATAGATAATCATATACATTTAACAAGTAAAACGACAATTTGATTGTTCTCATGTTGACAGAATGGCGGTCCGAGATTTTCCCCGGGAGAACTATGACGTCATCCAGAAGGAAAGCAACAACAACAACAAATGTAAACAGAAATTCAGCAAAGATAGACATTTTCCAATTTTCTTAGTTTATAAAGCATGAAGATAGTTGTTATATACGTTGTTATTTTGTTTATGTATATTTTTGCAGTAAAAGAAAGTCAACAAAATGGTAAGTTACCAGCTAGTAGAGTCTAGCTTAAGCCAATGGCAACTTGAGCAAGTTAATTTTAGTTATTTTTTAATGGCATGACTAAAAAATGAAACAGAAACATGCTTTTTTGTACAACCACCTAATTGCTTGACCAAGCGTATAATAATCTGTTCAGATTAGATCATCCTGTCAAATTTAATGGTCTCCGACCAGTAGGGTACAAATCAGGAACACTCGTACATAATAGTTTAATTATTGAAAGAAAACATGATTCTTGAATTGCATGTACATGTATATAACCAGACACTGCCAGAGCCTAGGTTAGAACCTGCCCCCTTCCCCCTCCTGACTTGAACTGTCCCTGTTAACTGTCAATAAAAATATTTGAACATTTTAACATGAATGGGGCATTTGCGTTAATCTTTAACACAAGAATAAAGAAATCACATTTGGTGTCCTGGCAGTTTCCTAGATTAGGCCTCCCTGTATATAAATTAGACAGGGGTATGGCTCATTGAGTGTATACAAAATATGTATTTGACTGAATTTAAAACATAAATCCGAAGCCAGAAATCAAATTTTAAGTCAATTTCCATTACTCTATATACAACTGTCATGCACTAATAAATAATATTACATTTTTATACAACATTTTTATATAAACAAAAGTTATATTTCAAAATAGTCTCTCTATAATAGCTTAAATATTGAATAGATATTAAACTGCAATAACATCCAGCCTACAGACAGTTGAATTAACTATCACTTGACCATCCTTTGTCTGACTTCTGAAATGTGGGGACTTAAAACAATTCCTCTCCAACAGGGGAAAAACAGATACTTTTTAGTTAGGAAAATGAAGTCCAATATCTGCACTAAAAGAGTGACCAATAGCCCTGTTGAATGACATCATGTTTGATGCCATCATGATTTGAAGGCGGTCATGTCAGCCAAATGGAATGTGATTTAAATAAAGAAATTTCTTTTTCAACTCCTTTTTTTCCAGTAAAGATAGCAACTTTACCAGGTATGCAATTGAATTATAGAGTCCCTTCTTTATGTATGCTGTTACTTTATTATTAGCAGAACTTTAACTTATATAAATTTAAGCCTATAATGTAATGTCTTGAGTATTTTCTATTTCTTACAGTTACAGTTACTGTAGGCAACGTAATTACAACTGGGATAATGTCAACAACGCCTAGTACTGCTGACTTAACAGGTTAGGTGATTTGTTTTTCTAAAAGGGTTTATTACACTCCTGCACTGTGGTTTATGTGATACTCTGCTGTTTGTAGTAAACAAAATTTTTGTTATTTGTTACAAAGAATATTTCCAAAAATACCAGTATGAAAGCACTTTAATTTAGCATAATAATTTGACATATTCTTTGATGTTTGAAAATTGTTTTAGAAGCATGATTATATACATATAAAAAAATTCACTTATTAGTATGGACAACATACAGGATCTTTAATTTTTGCCCTACAAGTTTATTTTTTCTTCACTATCAAAGGTAGGTAAGTCTGTCAGGCACATTAATTTTGCAGAATTATGCCCCTTTTCTCATCTACAAGTATAGAGCATGCTGCCTATAGAGGACACTTGTTTTGTGTAGTAATATATTTTGGCCATTTAGGGAAATAGTCCAGGTCCAGTCATTGAATTTACTGGCGCGAATTCCAGTTTTGAATTTATTCTACTAAATATTTAACTACATTTTCTTAAAATTTACACTGGCCTGAACTAATTTATACTGGCCATGGGCCACCGGGCCAACTGGTGCTAAATTCTATGACTGCAGGTTCCAAGGTTATAAAACCTTTTCCTGAAATCAAGCTTGAATCTCAGGATTTTCATTGGTCAATTCACATTCTGTGTCTGTTTCTGACCTATCAAATACCTAAGATCTGAGTTTGAGATTAGAATATTTTTTTAAATCCTCGATCCAAGGTCTTCTCTAATTGTGGAAAAAATTGCCCTGTGTTATGCCTGTAGAATTGAGAATGTCAGAACAGATATTAGTAACAATTCTTACTAGTTACTAGATATTGTGGCTCATATAAATTGTGGTTGGGAAAAATATGGAAATCAAATAAGCATGCTTGCAGTGTTTTTTGCATGCAGTTTGGAGGCCAAAATACTGTGCCCCATTCACAAAGCTGAAGAAGTATCTTTTTTACACAATTGTTTAACCCATTACTTCATGAGCATTTTGTGAAAAATGGCTGTTTTCATTGAAAGTCTCCCGTTACAAGTTCAAATTGCTATAAAACTATAAACACTGCTTCAATACTAATCAAACTTGGAATAAATGTTGACTTGACCGTTACCATGGCAATCTGGGGACATCTCAAAATTGCCAAAAATCACTATTTTGTGTTGATGTTTTCCATCAAAATTGATTTCAAAGTGCTGCAACTTCTCAATGGATTGAGATAGAGTCAAATGGCCTTTACAGCGTTGGACCGTTGGTAACACGTTACCTTATGATTGATCTGTGGTCATTTTTAGCCTCTCACAAGTCCAAAATTTTCTTGGCGATGAGGGGGACTGCCGCCCCCCCTTCAAACCCCCCAAATAGAAGGGGGCACATCCCCCATCTGGCAACCCCCTGATGTATCTTTTGGTTGGAGGGGCCACGCTGAAAAAGTGGTCACTTTTTTAAACAACATTTCTCAAAAAAAAAACAAGTGTTGGGGGCCTAAATAAGGCATTTTTTCACCATTTAAGACAACAATAAAGGGGGGAGGGGTGAAAAAGGCGTTAAAAGGCGTGTATATCGGGTAACGAGTTAATGAAATCAAAATTGTCAAAAAATTAAAGTCCTTTGAAAGATCTGAGTGACTAAAAATTATGAGAAACAGAAACATTAAACTATGAGACTTTATATGATTTGGTATTTATCATGAATGTAGATTCAAGGCATATTCCAACACATCATTAACTTTTTTTTGCCATTTAGTAGCTTAATCAGTTGAGTTAACTTTTTAACAGTACAAAATAGAACTACATGTAATGATATATATCCACAAATAAGCATAAATGGTATCCTTCATTAATTCCCAGCAAACACAAGACGTCATACTGACGTCAGATTTAAGTCAGGTTCTGACGTCGGATGACGGTCGGAAAAACGGTTGGATTTGAAAGTTTTTTTGACGTAATAATCTGACGTCAGGTAGACGTCAGAATCTAACCATTATCTAACCTTTTTCTGACCAAAATCTGACCATTATCTAACCATTTTCCGACCTCAATCTGACCATTTTCCGACCTAAATCTGACCATTTTCCGACCTAAATTTTCCGACCTAAATCTAACCAGTTTCTAACCATTTTCCGACCTCAATCTGACCATTTTCCGACCTAAATCTTAACCCTTTTCTGCCCTAAATCTGACCATTTTCTGACCTTAATCTGATCATTCCCCTAATCCTTTTTGTTTTACCACATTATAAATATTTTCTGGCTAATCCTGCTTTGATCGAATTTAATGTAACTCATTCTATTAAGTAACTTTCACTCCAATGAAATGTATAACAAAAAACTAAAATCAAAAATATGTTTTTATGTTTTTTATTTATTTAAAATAAAAGTTCCAAGGCTAAATACTTTTCATAAATTAAACAAAAAACATAAAATAAGTTAATAACAAAACAAAAAGTATTACAAAAACAATGACATAAATGAAACTAAGAAAACATATACAAATATTAAAGAACAAATTAATGTATGTACATTTCAATGAAAATATTATAATTTTAAGAAAAGTTTCGGATTCGGATAATAATGTTTCAAGCAATTAATGACAGATTTTCAGTATTTTAACTATATTTCTACAGCATTACTAAAACATTTAGTGCCATTTTGCATATTTTGACCTCCTTTTGATAATTGTCACTAAGGTATACAGTAAATTACTTCCTTTTAGTTTACTTCACAAAGTTATACTTTTAAATATCCATGAGAATGAGCACGAATTTGGAGGTGTGATGCTTTTAGATATGACCTTCTCTCACCACCCCAGGCCATCCTTAAAAAAATGTTTGTTTGCAGTAACCGACTCACAAAATTTGCCCCTACTCAAATTTTTTTTTTCATGGTCTGAATAAATTATTTTTTTTTGAATCAGAAAATTATGCCTTGTGCTTTGTTTTTGTTCTTTTAAAGGTTAATAGAAGAAATAAAATGTAGTTCTTATTAAATTATTATTCAGTTATCAATTTATTAATTGTTACCAGATTATCAAAGCATATATTGTCCAGCATTTTGAAATTCCATGTTTATTTGGGAGTACAGTTCAAAAAAAAAAAAAAAAAAGTCAAAAAAAAAAAAAAAAAAATCGACCTACCTACCCTCCTTGAAAATTCTGGGTCGGGTTACTGCAAACAAACATTTTTTTAAGGATGGCCCCTCGTCTGTCCGGAGAATACGTTAATGTCCAATAGCGTCTGTGATGTCATTTTCACTGAAAAAAAAAGAAATTTATGAAAAAATGGACAAATAACAAGCTAAAATGTTTTTCATGGTTATCTGCCCTTTAGAAATTTTGAAAGTTATCTTAACTTAATGAACAATTTTGCTAGTTTTTTATAAGAGAGCTTTAACAAAAATTGAAACTAAACATGAATACTGAAAATTTAAAAGGCGGCTTTAAATAGATTTCATAACAATAACACATGTAACTTGCCTATATACAGCGCCACCTATATGTTTTATTAGGATGCAGCGCCGCGATCTTGGTGTGTATATATATATACTCACTTCATTTGTAAGCCAAATAACATTTGAAAAAAGTTTAAATGATTACAACAGTGAATAACGATTTTTTGTTTGTTAATTTTTTACCTACCGTCAGGACGCCGACCAGAACCTGACGTTAGTACAACGTCAAAAAGAAACGTCTAATAGACATCGGTTTTTTAACGTCAGATTTACGTCGTATTTTGGTCGCCGACGTCGTGACCAAAATCTAACGTTAATCCGACGTTATTTTAACGTCATGTGTTTGCTGCGTTGGCCCTCATTTTAACAATTCAATAATTATATAAGCTAAAGACACTGGTTCACTCAAGATTGGAGTGTGCTTCATTATTTTTGCAATCATAAATGTGTGTTAGATTAATCTTTCATCTGACTGCGCAGTGACTCTTAATCTTAATATGAATTTTTCGGCAATTTATTTGAGCCCTTAGGCAAGAATATTTTCTCAAGCTTACATTTCTATGCAGGGTATAACCATATTCAGGAAAAAAGGTTTTTCTATTTTATTTTGAAGCCTGGTCTATTTAAGAGACTGAAAAAACAAGGGAAAATCACTGTTGTTAGTATGTTGTATCTTGAAGTTAAAGTCATTGCCATAGATAGTGTGCAGCAAACGCGACTTTCAATATATAGCCATAAATGTTATGATTCTGGCATACAAAAATACTTCTTATATGCTATATCTTTTTCCTGGAAACTTAAATGCAATTAACACTTCTTTCTGAGCATCAATGTTCAATTTAAAATATTGAACAATTTACAACACTTTATATTTAGAAAAAGAAACAAGATTTATAATTTTTAACAACGTCAAAATATATAATATCTGCCACAGACTGCAATTGAGATACATTCCGGATATGTAACATACTTTCAATTTAACTTTTATTGTAAAAAACTCAACTCTTTTTTCTTTTCTTTTTTCAGTCCAATGCCCTGCAGGATTTGATTCATTTCAGAATCATTGTTTCCATATCAGTAAACGGCGTGGATTTAAGAAGAGTGCTACCTCATTGTGCAAGAGAATGGGTGGCTATCAGACCTGGATTGATGGAAACGAGAAGGAAAGTATTGCAAGCGGCTACTTAAGAGGTTAGAAAGTCTTACTGAATAACATTTACTTTTTCCATTATCATAAGAGACATAGATAACAATAATTATTGTTATCTACATCTCTGTTATCATGAAATTCATAAATATAGGAGTGAATATATAATATCATTATAAACTTGGAAATTTTTAAAAAGTATATATTCTATACTAATGACTTAAAATAGCATTGATTCAAATACAATAAAAACCCACTATACCGGACATGGTCAGGGCAGGACAAAATTTCTGGATCAGCAACGATTCCTGTTTATTGAGGATTTATGGCATATTATTATAATATTACAATATATTGCAAGAAAAATTATTATCTTAAATTGTCCGTCAGTGACATTATGGGGTAAATATCCTTTACATTCACGCAATTTTGGAGTTATTGCTCTTTGATCATTTTTATATGCCCGAAAGAATTTCGGGCATATTATGTTATACCGCCGTCCGTCCGTCTATCTTAGCAATTTGGTTTCCAGAGCATAACTTAAGTTCCATTTAGCCCACAATATTCAAACCTCATAAGATGATTGTCCATATTGGGAAGACCCCTAATAATTTAGGGGTCACAAGGTCAAAGGTCAAGGTGACTATTACCTTAAAACTGAAAACAGTTTCCGGAGCATAACTTAAGTTCCATTTGGCCCACAGTGTTCAAACTTCATAGGATGATTGTCCATATTGGGCAGAAGACCTCTTTTGATTTTGAGGTCACAAGGTCAAAGGTCAAGGTCACTATTGCCTTAAAACTGAAAACAGTTTCCAGAGCAAAACCTAATTTCCATTTGACCCACAATATTCAAACCTCATAGGATGATTATCCATATTGGGCAGAAGACCTCTATAGATTTTGGGTTTACAAGGTCAAGGTCAATATTTCCTTAAAACTGAAAACAGTTTCTGGAGCATAACTTAAGTTCCATTTGGCCCACAGTGTTCAAACTTCAAAGGATGATTGTCTGTATTGGGCAGAAGACCGCTATTGATTTTAGGGTCACTAGTTGAAAGGTCAAGGTCACAATTACCTTAAAACTGAAAGCAGTTTCTAGGAACATAGCTTTAAGTTCCATTTTGCCCACAGTGTTCAAACATATATAGTATGATTGTTCTATTGGGTAGAAGACCCCTATTGGTTTTAGGGGTCACAAGGTCAAAGGTCAAGGTCACTATTACCTAAAAACTGAAAACAGTTTCTGAAGCGTAACTTAAATTCCATTTGGCACACAATATTCAAACTTCATAGGAGGATTGCTATTTGAAGGAGGTAATACTTTATTTAATTCCCATGTCTTACAAATGCTTCATCCATAAAAAAAGAGCACTTTCGGGCATATAATGCTCCGCCTAGCAGTGCTCTTGTTACACTTTGAAATTTGTTTGGGACATAACTTTGGCACTATAAGAGATATAAACAAGAAACAAGAAAGAGCTTTTAAACTTTTCTGTGTCCAAAACCTATTTGAGGAGCATCACCCGATTCAACTGCTCTTTTTATTAAATAAGTCTGTATGTATATTAATTTTAAATAGAGTGCTACTGTTATTGAATTATAATCATATATATATCGTAGGTATCCCGACCATGTCCAATTTAATAACAGTGAGATTTTACTGTAGTAGACTGTAGTATTGACATGTTTGAAAAAAAAAGAAGAAAAATCTCAGTTATCAGAGATCATTTAAAACATTTACACAAATGAACTAAGTTTTACAATCTTGTTAATTTTATCAATTGATAATTTAAATCTTAAGAGTTTTAACTTTTAGCTATAGCTTAGAATTATATTGCATAGTTACCAACATTTAAGGTTTAAGGATAACTTTTACAGTTTTAAAATTACTGACTTTAAGCAGTATATTTTAAATAATGGCATTTTAATGATAACTGTATCATAACCATTGTTTTTCCAGCACACTTTAATATGCTTTATCAGAAAACCCCTTTTGTGTGGCTACCAACAATCAACACCAACGGTATCAACACCAACGGTGTCATCTACACATTTGCAGACTCCAAGAAGAACGCCACACTGTACTTGCGAAAACATGTTCACCAAATTAGCAAATATATGAATCAGACACACAAGCTGCATTTTTACATAAATGTGTTCGGCTATGCTTTCCATTGTTCACGCGTTTGCTGGAGATTACAAGCTTTCTGTGAAGCTAAGCCGAAAAATTCAGGCAAAAGCTTGACTGCACAACAGCCTGTGCAAAATGAACGAGAGGATTGTCCAAGAGGATTTCATTTTTTCATGAATCACTGTTTCTATATAAGTCGTAGAAGTGGAAATGAAGAATTTGCTCGAAAGGTTTGTTATAGAATAGGAGGTTACCAGCCGAGGATAGATGGGAGACAAAAGGAGGAAGTTATTTTAAGCTATCTAAGAGGTAAGCTGTGAATAATAAATTGTGAAGGGACACTTGAAAAAGTCCTTGTTAAACACTCAAGTGGTCCCATTTTGGACTCAATTGTCATCAAATTTTGTCACTAGATGCTTGTGTAGGTAATTGCTCGGATTTCGAATCCTCCTGTCATCTCAGACACAGGAGCTAAAAAATGAAAAATGAGCCGCGTCACGACAAAACCAACATAATGGGTTTGCGACCAGCATGGATCCAGACCAGCCTGCGCATCCGCGCAGTCTGATCAGGATACATGCTGTTCTCAGTAGAGAAACCGATAGCGAACAGCATGGATCCTGATAAGACTGCGCAGATGCGCAGGCTGGTCTGGATCCATGCTGGTCACAAACCCATTATGTTGGTTTTGTCATGACACGGCTTAAATCTTGTTAACAATTAAGTAGCTACAGTTTTGATCCAGATATCCTGGATATTGATCTGAAAGTTTGTTTTGATGATTTCTAGTTCAAGGTCAAATATGGGTCACTTAGGGTCCAAAGCTAGGTCACAGTGCCGAAATATTGAAAAACCTCATGGTCACATTTTTGCCTCAATTATGAATTCATGATGAAACTTTGTCAGAATGCTTGTCTAGGTAATTGCCTGGATGAGTTAGAACATGGGTCATCTGGGATGAAAAACTTGGTCAGAGGAGCTAAAATTAGAAAAATCTTGTTAACACTCTAGTGGCTACTGTTGTTATCCAAATATCCTGGAAATTGGTCTGAAAGTTTGTTTTGATGATTTCCAGGTCACGTTTGAATATGGGTCACCTGGGGTCAAAAACTAGGACACACTGCCCAAATATGGAAAAACCTTGTTAACACTCTAGTGGTCACATTGTTTACTCAATTGTCATCAAACTTGGTCTGGATGCTTGTAATTGCTTGGACGAGTTCCATAGGTCAAATGAGCAATCTAGGGCCATCTTGGCCCTTTTTGTTTTTTTAGACAGTATCTTTTTTTAAAATTAAATACTTTTATTCACATGATATTGTTTTGAAACAAAGTCACCGCAATGCCTACAGGTTCATTTTTCTTTTTTGATGAAAAGATAATTATAGATTAATAATATCTGTCATATGTTGCGGTTCGGACCAGATTATCCGTCCCAATCAGAACCGCAAACATATGTCAGATATTTTTTCTTGCATATTCTGCCATATTATTTCATATTCAAAATGGTTTACAGTTCATTCATGAAGTGCGCTAAAAAGATGTTGTTTGGCACGCAACTCATCTGGCACCCCCCATGCCTGGAGATGAAATTTCCGGCATGGGTAAAACTCACAGAAACGCCAGTCTGCAATGCAAGAATAATAAATAAAGTGATACAATCTAGAGGCAGAAACTGCATAAAATGTGCAAAACTATTTTAAAAAGCCATTATTTTGTAACTCCTTTAAGTCATAATGACAGGGTAAAATATGGTAATTAGAATGTTCAGTGACTTTTGCATAGGTTGCAATTTTTTATATATTTCCTATACATTTTTATACTTTGTTACATAATGGCAAGGGGGCATGATAGTGTTACCCAAGTCCAACAATCGTTCATTGGCCACTGGGTGTGTGTACTCAAAAATCTTAGTCTGGCCCATAACTATATCAAGGGATTTTAAAATAATTTGGCAAAACTTTGCAGCATGAAAAGATGGTATGTTATGAGCAAGACCTAGACCCCTAGCTCCAAGGTCAAGGTCACACTTAGAGGTCAAAGGTTAGCAATTCAATCTATAACTTTATCAGGCATAGTCAGTTGGAAAAAGTATTAAGCATCATAAATGAGTCTAGTTGTTGTATAAAAATTGTTTAGCTTTACAGTTTTACAGTTAACATTCTTTTTACTTTTTTCCAGTTTAATGTTTCAGTACAGATGGAACTGAGAAATATGTGCTGACACGTCACATTAATTTTAAAATTTAGGCCTAAAATGTTAATGTCACAAAAATGTTTTTGTCAACAGACATCTGACCTTTAAGTTCCCTTAAAAAGTCTTTTATTGCAAAAATGATTACTAAAATACAAACTTATTGCTACCCTGTTTCATGTTATTTGATGTCCTAACATATACATTGTATAGTTAGGGTTAGTTTTGTCCTAATTAGACACAATCACGAAGTTCTTAAATAATTCAGCCACAGTGTTTCTCGTAGTTTATTATTTTGTCTTTACTCTGTTTAAGAGGCATGCATTTGTTATAAGAGCAATTTGCTTTGATCCATGATGTTCTAACCTCAGTGCCTTAATATTTGAAGAAATTAGTTTATTTGTATTAATATGGAAAAAATTTACTTTTTCCAGCAAATATGAACATAATTACTTCCTCGTCCAAAAGTGTTTGGTTGCCAAGAATCGTAACAAAGGGGAAATCAGTTGAATGGATAGATTCTGGAAAAAGTGCCAACTCATTTGTAAAGAGATATAGACTAAATCCAAACCATTTCAAAGAGACAGCTAAAAGGCACTATTTAACATATTCACTCACTGGATGGGTGAAGGAATGCCGTCGGGGGTGCTGGACATCGCAGGCACTCTGTGAAACTGAGAGCTTAACCGATAGCTTAACCAAAAACGACTGGAAGAAAAGGAAAAACCACTGGAAGAAAGGGATAATAATACGGGGGAAAAGGATAGCAAACATGGGGGAAGAAAAGAAAAAGCCTATAAAACCAACTCTCGACATAAAAAGTACTCTAGCTCCAAGTATACAATCGCAACAAAGTACTCTAGCTCCAAGTATACAATCGCAACCGGAAGTTGAACAGTGTCCGGATAAGTTTGATGAGTATCAACAACATTGTTTCTATATCGGACGGCGGAAACTGTCTATACGCTATGCAAAAGAAAAATGTAAAGAGTTAGGAGGATATCAAGTTGATATTGCCGATGAAAGAAAAGAGGATATTGTACTTAGTTATTTAAAAGGTAAGTTACCATAATGTTGTTATTATTTTTAAAGCAGCACACCTCCAGATTCATGCTAATTTTCATGAAAATTTGAAAATGTATTTAACAGTATAATATTGTAAAGTAACCAATGTAATGCAATTTACACATTATCAATGGCACTTACAACCTATGTAAATTACTATAAAGAGGTCAAATATGCAAAAATAGCTCTTACTGCATTAGTTACGCGGTAGAAGTATAGTTACTATAAAACCTTAAAAATTCGGTCATTAATCACACATAACATGTAAATTTTTACTAGAATTTTGAATCTTTATACCTTTCCTAAAATCTTAGTACATTTTTCTAAGGTTTGATTTTATCGAAATATTTTTGCTCATCTGGAGGCGTGCTTAGCAGCTTTAAAGTAATTAATGACCATTTTAAACAAGCTAAAGATATATGTCATGGTTATATATATTATATAACAGGCAATGTAGATCTTCAGACTGAAATGCTAAAACTGTATTAAATTTCTTCCCCTAGAGTATGACATAAAAAAAACAAGATACATTGTAGTTTGCTCTTTGCATTTAGAGGTAAACATTCAACAGGTTTTTTTCCCCCCACCTATAGCTGGGGCCGTTTAAGGGTGACTTACCCAAAGAAAATCTTTTTAAAATTATGAAGTTTTTCCCAAAAATTGAATTGACATGATCACATCAAGTGTTTTCTTCTCCTTTTACAAAAATACCAAATTATTTCTTCTTAAAATTAGGGGTTTAGGGCAGCGCTTCCCCAGCGTTAAAAAAAAAGCCGTAAACTGCTGTCATTAATTGCATGTCTGCAGGACAAGGTCGACTTAGGCAGAGCAAGGTCAAGTGTTCCATTTTCAGATTTGTCATACTGGATATAATTAAAGTAAAAAATTTTCTGAGCTCTGATTTGTAACTTGTAGTGAAACAGGTTTAACATCTATATTATACCAATTGCTAAATTTCTTAAATTAAATTGTCAATCTTTCAATATGGACAAAACCATGGAAAATTGAAATAATATGTATGGACAGAATAGTGGGCATTGCTCACCATTATCAGGCATAAAAGTGCTGGCTGATTATGGTGTCTGCACTCAGGCGGCATTGGTAAATATGTTGTAAAGTAAGCAAAAAGTATTTAGCCTGGAACCCCGTTGTATCGATCTATTAACACATAAATCACAACTGCATTTAAAAAATTCAAATCTCCCTGAATATTTATTTTGTATCATTTATTTTGATCCTTTTGCCATAACATTTACATGGCAAAAATCATTGATATGTAGTTTTTAGCTTTGGAATATACGGATATTTACAGACATGTCAAATAGGTTGAAGAATTAGGTCACGCCATTATATCGATGCATTGTGAGAATCGCTCAGTTAGCCAAAGTTTGGGAAGCCTTTACCATCTTTATGCTAGATTTTTCAGTCAATTAGAAACATAGATGTCTGTTTTTAAATGTCAGCATAAATTTAGGAACTTTTAACAGACCGTAAATGTACTTTTAATAAGAACACATTATTTATAAGTCTATTTATTATCTACAACGTCTTACGGTACTGGAAACATGTTTTTTATCATTTTACTGCACAAAAATAAATGCGAAAGATTTTCGTGACACTGCTGTTAATGTAAACAATCAGTAGGTGACGTTTTTTTCTAAAAATCTAAAGATTTGTAAATAGATCGATACAATGAATAGCACGATACAATGGGGTTCCACTATACATTCCTATCATTATGCCACCTCCCCCCCCCCCACTTCGAAGAAGAGGGGGTATATTGTTTTGAAAATGTTGGTTGGTTGGTCAGTTGGTCTCTCCGTCTGTAGACCACATGGTTTCTGCTAATTATATTGAAAACTATATATCACAAAGTCTTCACATTTCACATACTAAATGGTCATAACTAGTAGATAACCCCTATTGATTTTGGGGTCACCAGGTCAAAGGTCAAGGTCACTTAAATGTCTGAATGGTTTCCACTGATTATCTTGAAAAATGTTCATCACAGAGGCTTTATATTTCACATACTGATTGGTCATAACCAGTAGATTAGCCCTATTGATTTTAGGTACACTAGGTCAAAGGTCAAGGTTACAGCGGCCTTTAATGTCAGAATGGTTTCCGCTGATTATCTTGAAAACTGTATATCACAAAGTCATACTGATTGGTCATAACTAGTAGATGACCCTATTGATTTTCAGGTCATTAGGTAAAAGGTCAAGGTCACAGCAGCCTTAAAAGTCAGAATGGTTTCCGCTGATTACCTTGAAAACTATTCATCACATAGTCTTCATTTTTCACATATTGATTGGTCATAACTAGAAGATGACCCCTATTGATTTTAAGATCATTAGGTCAAAGGTCAAGGTCACAATTGCCTTAAATGACAGAATAGTTTTCGCTGATTATCTTGAAAACTATTCATCACAAAGTCTTCATATTTCACATACTGATTGGTCATAACTAGCAGATGACCCCTATTGATTTTGGGGTCAAAGGTCAAGGTCACAATTGCCTTAAATGACAGAATGGTTTCCGCTGATTATCTTGAAAACTATTCATCACAAAGTCACATACTGATTGGTCATATGTAGTAGATGACCCTATTGATTTTTTATGTTGATAGTTTGACCTTGATAATTTGAGCCTGGAAAAGGTTTTATAATTAAGACCCTCATCATTCAAGTATTTAAGAACAATTGCCCTGAAATAGATCACCAATCATGTTTAAGGAGTCAATGGTCAAGGTCAGTGGGGTATAAAAATATATCTGTGAAAAATTATCATTTTTATATGCCCTAATGAATTTCGGGCATATTATGTTATACCCTGTGGTGTCCGTTTGTCCGTCCGTTAGCAATTTGGTCTCCGGAGCATAACTTAAGTTCCATTTGGTCCACAAGATTAATAGTTCATAGGATGATTGTGTTCATATTAGGTAGAAGACCCCTATTGATTTTAGGGTCACAAGGTCAAAGGTCAAGGTCAATGTTACCTTAAAACTGAAAACAGTTTCCCAACATAACTTAAGTGCCATTTGGCCCACAGTGTTCAAACTTCATAGGATGATTGTCCATATTGGGTTGAAGAATCCTATTGATTTTGAGGTCACAAGGTCAAAGGTCAAGGTCACTATTACCTTAAAACTGAAAACAGTTTCCTGAGCATAACTTGAGTTCCATTTGGCCCACAGTGTTCAAACTTCATAGTATTATTGTCCATATTGGGTCGAAGACCCCTATTGATTTTGGGTCACAAGGTCAAAGTTTAAGGTCACTATTACCTTAACAGTTCCGGAGTATAACATACCGGTAAGTAAGTTCCATTTAGCCCACAATATTCAAACTTCATAGGAGGATTGTTATTTAAAGGAGGTAATATTTTATTTAATTCCCATTCATCTTTACTAAAAAAATCACTTTCGGGCATATAATGCTCTGCCTAGTGGTGCTCTTGTTATTTCATTTCATTACCTCCTTCAATGCCAAAGGGTGGCATTACACTGATTGGCAGAAGGTTAAGGCCACCTAGAATGCCAAAGAGACTTTTTCTGGAAAAAAAAAATGGGTAATCGGGGCCTCAGCAAAAACTTCATTTTGTGCTGTTGATATAGGTCAGTTCTTTGAAAACTGAAATGATTTTGGTGTTAGTTTGTTTATGTACTTTTTAATATTTTATGCAAGATTGAAAATAAGTATAAACATTTTGTATGTAATAAAACAGAAACAGACTAATTTATTTTCACTAGAACTACATGTATTTTTAGCTCACCTTGCACAAAGTGCAGGTGAGCTTTTAGGATGGCCAACCAAATGGCGTCCGTCGTCTGTCGTCCGTCCACATTTTAAATATTCTAAGGACATCTTCTATGATACCGCAAGGCCAATGTTAATGAAACTTGGCAGGAATACTCTTTGTATGAAGCTCTATCAAGATTGTTCAAAGAATTCCATTTCATGCAGAACTCTGGTTGCCATGGCAACCGAAAGAAAAATCTTTAAATATCTTCTTTTAAAGAACCGTAAGAGCTAGAGCTTAGATATTTGGCATGAAACATCTTCTAATGAGTGTCTACCAAGTTTGTTCATATAAAAGCCCTAGGGTCAAAATTGGCCCGGCCCCAGGGGGTCATTGATTTTCCCTATATGCATATAGTAAAAACTTAAAAAATCTTCTTTTAAAGAACCAAAAGAGCTAGAGCTAAGGTATTTGGCATGAAACATCTTCTAGTGAGTGTCTACCCTACCCAGTTTGTTCAAATAAAAGCCCTGGGGTCAAAATTGGCCCCGCCCCGGGGGGTCATTCATTTTCCCTATATGCATATAGTAAAAACTTAAAAAATCTTCTTTTAAAGAACCGTAAGAGCTAGAGCTTAGATATTAAGCATGAAACATCTTCTAGTGAATGTCTACCAATTTTGTTCAAATAAAAGCCTTGGGGTCAAAAATTGCCCCGCCCATGTGGGTCATTGATTTTCCTGATATGTCTATTAAAAAAACTTAAAAAGTCCTCTTTTTAAAAAAAACCCAAAGAGCTAGAGCTAAGATATTTAGCATGAAACATCTTCAAATGAGTGTCTACCAAGCTTGTTCAAATAAAAGCCCTGAGGTCAAAATTGGCGCTGCCCCAGGGGGTCATAGATTTTCCCTATATGCATATAGTAAAAACTTAAAAAATCTTCTTTAAAAGAACCCAAAGAGCTAGAGCTAAGATATTTGACATGAAATATCTTCTAGTGAGTGTCTACCAAGTTTGTACAAATAAAAGCCCTGGGGTCAAAATTGGCCCCGCCCCGGGGGGTCATTGATTTTCCCTATATGCATATAGTAAAAACTTAAAAAATCTTCTTTTAAAGAACTGTAAGAGCTAGAGCTTAGATATTTGACATGAAACATCTTCTAGTGAATGTCTACCAAGTTTGTTCAAATAAAAGCCCTGGGGTCAAAATTGGCCAGGTCCCAGGGGGTCATAGATTTTCCCTATATGCATATAGTAAAAACTTAAAAAATCTTCTTTTAAAGAATCCAAAGAGCTAGAGCTAAGATATTTAGCATGAAACATCTTCTAATGAGTGTCTACCAAGTTTGTTCAAATAAAAGCCCTGGGGTCAAAATTGGCCCCGCCCCAGGGGGTCATTGATTTTCCCTATATGCATATAGTAAAAACTTAAAAAATCTTCTTTTAAAGAACTCAAAGAGCTAGAGCTAAGATATTTAGCATGAAATATGTTCTAATGGGTGTCTACCAAGTATGTTCAAATAAAAGCCCTGGGGTCAAAACTGGCCCGCCCCGGGGGTCATTGATTTTCCTTATATGTGTATAGCAAAAACTTAAAAATCTTCTTTGAAAAAACCCAAATAGCTTGAGTTAAGATATTATACATGAAACATTTTTAAGTAAATATCTACAAAGTTTGTTCAAATAAAAGCCCGGGGGTCAAAAACTGGCCCTGCCCCAGGGGTGTCATTGTTTTTAACTATATGTGTATAGTAAAAACTTAAAAAATCTTCTTTTAAAAAACCCAATGAGCTAGAACTTAGATGTTTAGCATGAAACGTCTTCTTATGGGTGTCTACCAAGTCTGTTCAAATAAAAGCCCTTGGGTAAAAATTGGCCCGGGGGGGGGGGGGGCTATATACAGGTGAGCGACCTCAGGGCCATCATGGCCCTCTTGTTTGTTGTTGTCAATTGTTAGAAAGAGATTGAAATCTCAAATGATGATGAAGAGCTAGAAAATGTAGAGAGATGAAAGGAAGGTTGCTTTTAGATTTAGACAGGCATTAGACTAACATAGCCTTTAATATTTTGCAGCAAACAAGGAAAGGGTTCTTCAGCCATCTCCCTATTTGTGGCTGTCAACAGTGGTCGGCGATGGCAGGCATTTAACATGGTTAGATACAGCAAATAGTGCCAAATATTTTCTGAGGAAGAGAAAGTACATAGGCAAAACATTTTATACGCAGACATACTTTGAGAGGGAACTGTTTATGCATTTCTCAGGCAAGAATCTGAAGAAGGCTAGAAGCCTTGGTGTTTGCGTAGGAGAATGTAGACGTCATCTTTTCCAACCATTTTGTGAGACAGAAATGGAGGCTTCAAATAAAGGGGCTAAGAGCGGACATTGAAGGAAAAGTATGAAGTTTGTTGCACATACATATTGTATTGTTGATATGCCATGACTGTGATAGACATTATTGTTGTTTGAGATTGATTCTGATTGTTTTTGATCGGCTTGGTCTGAGGCTCTGTCTGGAAAAAAAAACAAAAACAAAAAAAAAAGAAAGATGTAAATAACAGATTTGTTTTGTATTTGTCATTTTTGCTCGACGTTTTTTGAAAAAAAGTAGAGGTATTGTTATAGTCATGTTGGTGTTTGCTTTGACGTTGCCGTCCGCAAACTTGTATATTGATCATAACTTTTTAAGTTCTTGGTGTATTGTCTTCATACTTGGCAACAATAGTTCTTGGACCAATATCTTTTAGTAGACTAGACTACCCTTGACCTTCATGTATAAATGACCTTGACCTTCAAGGTTAAATGTCTAAATTTTGCTTGTTTTTGGCTGATTTTTGCTATTAGTGGCTATAACTTTTTAGCTCTCCTGTCACAAAGTGACAGGGTGAGCTTTTGTGATCGCTTTTCGTCCGGCGTCCGTCCGTCCGTCCGTCCGTCGTCCGTCCGGCGTCCGTCGTCCGTCCGTAAACTTTTGCTTTAAATGACATCTGCTCATAAACCACTTAGCCAATTTCATCCAAACTTCACAGGAATGTTCCTTTGGTGGTCACCTTTAAAAATTGTTCAAAGAATTTAATTCCATGCAGAACTCTGGTTGCCATGGCCATGGCAACCGAAAGAAAAATCTTTAAATATCTTCTTTTAAACAACCCTTAGAGCTAGAGCTTAGATATTTGGCATGAAACATCTTCTAGTGAGTGTCTACCAAGTTTATTCAAATAAAAGCCCTGGGGTCAAAATTGGCCCCGCCCCAGGGGGTCATTGATTTTCCCTATATGCATATAGTAAAAACTTAAAAAATCTTCTTTTAAAGAACCCAAAGAGCTAGAGCTAAGATATTAAGCATGAAACATCTTCTAGTGAATGTCTACCAAGTTTGTTCAAATAAAAGCCCTGGGGTCAAAATTGGCCCCGCCCCAGGGGGTCATTGATTTTCCCTATATGCATATAGTAAAAACTTAAAAAATCTTCTTTTAAAGAACCCAAAGAGCTAGAGCTAAGATATTAAGCATGAAACAACTTCTAGTGCTTGTCTACCAAGTTTGTTCAAATTAAAGCCCTGGGGTCAAAATTGGCCCCGCCCCAGGGGTCATTGATTTTCCCTATATGAATATAGTAAAAACTTAAAAAATCTTCTTTTAAAGAACCATAAGAGCTAGAGCTTAGATATTTGGCATGAAACGTCTTCTAGTGAATGTCTACCAAGTTTGTTCAAATAAAAGCCCTGGGGTCAAAATTGACCCCGCCCCAGGGGGTCATAGATTTTCCGTATATGCATGTAGTAAAAACTTAAAAAATCTTCTTTTAAAGAACCCAAAGAGCTAGAGCTAAGATATTTCGCATGAAACATCTTCTAATGAGTGTCTACCAAGTTTGTTCAAATAAAAGCCCTGGGGTCAAAATTGGCCCCGCCCCAAAAACTTAAAAAATCTTCTTTTAAAGAACTCAAAGAGCTAGAGCTAAGATATTTAGCATGAAACATGTTCTAATGGGTGTCTACCAAGTATGTTCAAATAAAAGCCCTGGGGTCAAAACTGGCCCTGCCCGGTTGGGGGGGGGGGGGTCATTGATTTTCCTTATATGTGTATAGCAAAAACTTAAAAATCTTCTTTGGAAAACCCCAAATAGCTAGAGTTTAGATATTAAGCATGAAACATTTTTAAGTAAATATCTACAAAGTTTGTTAAAATAAAAGCCCGGGGGTCAAAACTGGCCCTGCCCCAGGGGTGTCATTGTTTTTAACTATATGTGTATAGTAAAAACTGTAAAAATCTTCTTTTAAAAAAGGCAATGAGCTAGAACTTAGATTTAGCATGAAACATCTTCTTATGGGTGTCTACCAAGTCTGTTCAAATAAACAAATAAAAGCCCTTGGGTAAAAATTGGCCTGGGGGTGGGGGGGCCTATATACAGGTGAGCGACCTCAGGGCCATCATGGCCCTCTTGTTTACTTTTATATGGATTGCCTTCAAACTTAAACATAATAATCTTTTAGGTTTGACCTTTAAGTTGACCTTCACTCATAAATGACCTTGACTTTGAAGGTCAAATCATTGAAATTTTCAATTTTTTGCTGTTACTTAGGCTATAACTTTGTTATTATTGAATGGATTGTCTTCGTATTGTAACAGATCATTCTTTAGGATAAGGCCTTGATGTATATCAAAACTCAAATTGACCTTGGCTCTTTTATGACCTTGACCTTGAAGGTTAAATCATTGTATTTTCACTGATTTTGCTATAATTGACTATAACTTTGTAACTAATTGATTATCCTTATACTCTGAATTTTGAACAAGATCTTTTATAAGGTTGAACTGACCTTGACCTTGAGCTTTAAATGACCTTTACTGTCAAGGTCAAATTATTAAATTTTGGTTAAATTGTCATTATTTTGTTATTTATGTAAGGTTTTGATTTAAACTTGGACAAAACAAGACTTTCTACCAAACAAACATAAATGACCTTGACTGTCAAGGTCAAATTAATGAAATTTTCTTCTTTTTTTTGTTATTGGCTATTATACCTATAACTTTGGTATTTATCAATGGATTGCCTTCATATCAAGACACAACATCTTTAAGGTCCAGTCCTACATGTATATTACACTCAAATTGCCCTTGGATCATGAATGACCTTGACCTTAAGGTCAAATTGTTTTATTTTCACTGATTATTGATATTTGACTGTAACTTTGTAATTAAAACCAATGGATTTTGTTTCTTACTTGAACAAAACAACCTTTTGGACAAGATATTTCTATAAAGACTGAACCGACCTTGATCTTAAGCTCTAAATGACTGTCAATGTCAAAGTATTGAATTTTGGTTATGTTGTCATAATTTTGTTATGTATGGATTTGATTCATATGTTGAGAAAACACATATTTTCTTAACATTGTCATTTATTTATGGAAAGGATTTATACTTCAGGACAAAACAACAAGTGTTACTTAGACAGATCTATTTAAGTTTAAAAAAGGAAAAACTTATTTCTTTCTTTATTTTTTTTTAATCTAAAGATTTGTTTCAACCGTTTATTTGCTTTTAGAAAAAGAAAAAAGTCGAGGGTTGCTCCGACACGGTGGTGGCTCTTGTTGTATCACTGATACCTCAATAAGAGATCACTTTTTCTGTCTGTCACAAAACTTGTCTTGAGGATCTTTCTGGACTTTTCTATGCTATTACAAGATTATTGTGTCGGATTTCTTAATTTGTCAATTCTAGATGTTTAAAACAGAAGGAATATAATGTTCATATGACGAAACATTTTTGGTTGGAAAATTCATATTATGAAAACAAGAACATTTTCATTGCTTCAAACTTATGGACGCTCCATTGACTAATTTATACTATTATCGGGTAATTTTTGACTTGTTTGCCCATTTTATAAAAAAATTTGAGGGGGTTAAAAAAAGATGACAGCTTGAGAAAAGTAATACTATTCATAATCACCTACGGTACATCAAAATTAAGAAAACCCCTAAACGGTTTCTGAAAACATGCCAGTACAGCTGAGCTTAAGTTTTCATGGCTATGACCGAGCAGTACTGAACACAATTCGAAGATAGCATATAAGTCCTCATTTCTTATTGTTTGAAAGAGATATAATTATACAATAATGTATAATAAATTTTGCCAATGTATCGAAGTAAATTGTAATAAATTACAATTTTGACATATTTACGTAACATTATGAAAAAATGGTAGGGAACACGCTGTTTTTTGCTGTTGTTTTCCAATACATGTAGTTCGAAAATAATTTGAAAATTGAATCTTACTTCTTTGTCAAATGTACAGTTATATAAGGAATTCAGGTAGACAGACGTTTAACTATTGAGACGGTTCACACCAAGATGGTTCACTCCCAAATGGGAGTGAAACGTCTTGAAGACATTTCACTCCCATTTTATACCAAAATTATTTTGATACGTATGATAATCATTACTACAATAGACCTTAATTTAACTAAAAAATGAAATTTTGTATGTCATTATTGTTAAAGTTTTTTTTTTTTATTTTTTACTTGATTAGAGAGATCTTTGATCTGATATCTTTTCAAATATTTATTCTTATTTATTAGGGGGGGGAAGGGATATCATATATGACCGGAATATATAATTGTATAAAGGTGCCAGTTCTTTAAAGATGATCTAATGAAATAATAATTTAATAAGTTTGAATTATCTTTTGCATTTTAAGTATATTTTTATATCAGATTAAGTAAAATAAAATTGTACGATAATCTTACAATGTATTAAATAAATTATCTGATTTTAACATATTATTTTATTTTTGATGGAATCTTACCCAGACGGTTTTCAATTGTACATGGTCTAAAAATATTTTCAATCGCCTATAAACCCAACTAATTAATAACTGTGAGCTTCTGCAGATGTATACAGCTCTAATTCAAATATGATGTCACCTGTTAATTGGTGTTCAATGTTTAACCCAAAAATAATAGGTGATGAGATTACTGTTAAGCAACCACAAATTACCTAAGTTTGTTTATGGCCACTGTATAAGAAATAATTTAAGAATAAATTAATATTTTTATGCACATTTTCTGCATTTTCATTGTAGATATATTCACAAAAAAAACAACTAATAAAATATATTTTATATATTGATATTATTTAAAAAACTGTTACTGTAGTGTGGTTTCAATATTTCAAATAGTTACTTACAATTGCTTGTCTTTGTTTGTTCAGTGAACATTTTCAATTTGTTATTTCTAATTATCTTTTCTTTGATTTAATTCAATAAATAGAATTTTCTCATGTTACTCTTATAATAAAAAACGATATTTCACAATTATGTCTTTCCCTTTATACCTCTTATCATTCAACCCATATTTTTAAATGAAGTATGAATGATAATCTTCTAAATATCCCATCATAATTTTGTCCCATTAAAAACAACATTTTTACTTCTAATAATTAACAGGAATTCTTCAAAACACTGGGTTTAAACGGAAACCAAAATTCACTTTTCTGAGCTGATACTATATAGAGGATATTGTTTTGTTTCAGTGTAAGATCGAAAAATATTTCACCGAGTGAACATCCAGATGCAATATTTTCACGAAGTGGCGTAGCCACGAGTGAAAAATATAATAGCTGGGGTTCACGAGTGAAATATTATCTTGATCTTACATGTAAAACAAACAAATTTTCTGTTTATTTCATGATTTTTTAACGATTTTTACACCATTTTACTGATTTTTGCCGCGAAAAACGTCATGCTCTTATCTTTCATGACGTCATCAAATAATGACGTCACAATGTTGAAGCAAAATATAATTCCATGATTTATTTTTAGATTCTTAGATTTTTTCAGCACAACGTTTCGTAAATATTTACGAACTACAGTTATCACGTACATTTTTTATTATGATTGGACTACATTTCCGCTGAAAAAAACATTTCATTAATGATAAATATTTTATTTTTACGCCAAATATAGTTCGGCTACTTGTGAAATTATATTTGGTTAATCATTACTGTGGAAATTATCAGCAAGTATTAATTTAACCGTTATAATTCAGTAATCTACTGCAAAACATGTAATAAACTGTATCTATATGTGACTCATAATTACACATTCGTTATATTCAGAAAAATTATACTTTTATAAGAATCATTCTTCAAATTTCATAAATTCTTCTTTAACAATACTCTCAAATTCAACAAAATGAATCATTAAAATTGAATTTCCCCTTCAATAATGAAATCTAAAATTTCTTAATAAAAACATCTAAAAAATGGGAGTGAAACGTCCATACAATTAACAAAATGGGAAGTGAACGTCTAGGTGTGAACGTCTTTGGAGTGAAACGTCTCAATAGTCAATAGTGGAAATGTCTTGGGAGTGAAAAACGTCTGACATTTCAGGAATTCAGACCCCCTTCTCTTGCAAGGTCTCTGTGTACTTGCTTGTGGATGCTTACATACATACATACATAAAGAAAATATGACCCTAAGAGGTAAATGTTTAGATGTATGTACACGAAAATCGAGTCATTTTTTTGTTCAATCTTTGAGATTTTTTTGAACGACAACAACAACATTTTCACTGATGTTTCCGAAGACGGTCATTTTTTAAGCCGCTCAAATTAAATTATTCTATGAAATGGGGAAACAAGTTCAAAATTTATATGACAGTATGCCTAGTCAATGGAAAGTAATTCTATAGCATAAAATGTCTTCTTTTTTGCGTAAATCTAAATATATACTGAACCAAAAAAGAAACTTTCGCAAAGTACTGCCAAGTTGTTCAAGGGTACCACTTAGATTACACAACTTATATACATGTAGTGAGCTTGTAAAACTCTTTTTTCAAAACTTGGAGAAAGTTTCTTTTTTGTTTTCAGTATACTACCTACCTGTTGTAATCTCTGCCATCACTGCAGCATATCTTCCTGTGACAATGGTGGCGGTTATACGGTATGTTACAACACACTTTAAGTGCGTTAATAAATTAATAGAAGATATTTTAAGTTTTTTTTTTTTATAAATACAGTATTTAGGCGTCGGTGTCAGCGTCCCTCTGGTTAAATTTTTGCGTGTAAGCTGGAGCTCCATAACTACTGAAGGGAATGGAATTGAAACTTCACACACTTGTTCTCTGTGATTATCTACATGATTGGCACAAGTCCAAAAACTCTTGATTTGCTTTTTTTGCATAATTATGCCCCTTTTTCGACTTAGAAATTCTTGGTTAAGTTTTTGCGTGTAAGCAAGTATCTCCTAACTACTGAAGGAATGGATTGAAAACTTCACACACTTTCTAACATGATTGGCACATCCTTTTAGTCCATAACTCTGATGCTTTTTTCAAAAATTATGCCCTTTTTTTTGACTATAACTTCTTTGTAAAAGTTTTTGCGTGTAAGCTGGTATTCTCCATAACTACTGAAGAGTTTGTGCCTTTTTATGGAACAATATTATGCATTCATAATAAGAAGCAGTTGATTAACTCGGTAAAAAAACACCTTAATAACAAGCCTTTGTACCTTTTCGGACAATTTTATGTATTCATAAAGGTAAACATTATTATCTCAATGAAACACACTTTTGACTACTTTTCGAATAGACTCGAGCGTTATTGTCCTCCGACAGTTCTTGTTTGACATTACTTTTAATTTTTTGTTTAAGAAGAAAGTAGTCCAGCAAGACACCAGTGGAAATACGGAAAATATGTTTCACTGCAGTGAAAAATAAATTTGAACTGATAATACGGAAAATGAATATACTATATTTTCATCAATATTTCTCAAACATTTCATTTTTTAGCTCGACTATTCACAGAATAATTCACGTCCTGTGGTTAAGTTTTTGTGTGTAAGCTGGTATCTCCATAACTACTGAAGGGAATGGATTGAAATTTCAACACACTTGTTCTCTGTGATTATCTAACATGATTGGCACAAGTCCCATAACTCTGATTTGCCTTTTTGCATAATTATGCCCCGTTTTCGATTTAGAAATTCTTGGTTAAGTTTTACGTGTAAGCTGCACAAGTCCATAACTCTGATTTTTTTTCATAATTATGCCCCTTTTGGGCTTAGAAATTCTAGGAAAATTTTTTGCATGTAAGCTGGTATCTCAACAACCTCTGAGGGGTTTGTGCCTTTTTTGGAACAATTTCATGCATTCATATTAATAAAGCAGTGATTAACTCGATAAAACATCTTAATAATAAGCCTTTGTACCTTTTCGGACAATTTTATGTATTCATATAGGTAATAATTATTCATATAGGTAAGCTTTATTATACTCAATGAAACACCTTTGTGACAATTTTTCGAATAGTCGAGCTTTACTGTCCTCTGCTTTACTGTCCTCCGCTTTAAATACTGTCCTCCGACAGTTCTAGTTAAGTATATAATTAATTGCGTTCTGTGTTTAAGTCATAGGGACTGGACGTGGAGGATGTCAACACACTACCGTGCCTTGTTTCCTTTTTAAGTTCTTAGTTACATACAGGGATGTAATAATATACCACGTGTGTATAAAAATAATAACTCGCCAGTTCATTAACAAATATTTATTTGCACCGGCTTAACAAAATTTGAACATAAAAAAACAAATGTTATAATCTTAATCAATTAAACATTATAGTAAAATGAAACATTATGTACATCATTAAACATACATTTATAAATAAACAAAACTTATGGAATAAATAAGAATAATTCAATGTAGGAATGTATTTGTAACAACAAAATCAACAACCATAAAATATTTATACTGAAAATGGTTCCGTGATTTTAGTCAAATTCTTATGTCAAAAGAAATATCTAAATCGTTTGGAATGTTAATCGTTTGACATACATGTACATACATATATGTAAAGATACATTAATGTACATGTATATGAGAAGAGCGGGAGATTAATCATGTAATTAATGATGTTATTAAATGTACATGTATATAATAAAACACATAAACAGTAATGGAATTTTTAATTTATAGTTTACATGTAAAACTTCGCGGAACTTTTTAAAATATGTTCGAGTTTACATGGAACTTCAGTTATTACGTCGTAAGTTTGTATACTTGTAACTCCAGGGAACTTCAGAAAAATAATTGGGACTTGTATCTTTCGGAACTGCCCTAAATTGAAAACATTTTAGTTTATTTTTTTGCTTAAAAAAAAGGTTGAGTTTGTTTTTAACTTCAGGGGAAATTCAATTAATATACTGAAAATTTTCAAAGGGAAATTTTAAAGGAAACTTTTTATAGTTTTAAAACTCACGTTTACTTTTTAAATTTTCGGAACTGTTAAATAAAATACGTTGTGAGTTTTACTTTTTATTAAAATTTACGGAAATTCATTTCAATTTTTAAATTCCCCCCCCCCCTTGTCATATTTATAATTCATATTTGCTTTTAAGAAATACGAAGTATGTTTAGCTGATATAGCACCATATTTCATGGGTAAAATTAATAAAAGTGTGTTTTCGCTTAAAACTTTTTTGAAACTTCAGTTAATTCGATGAGTTTTCCTTCAATTTTGTACGTTGATCTTTAGTAAACTAAAGACAGTTTGAGCTTAAAAAATTTGGAAGTGCGCGAAACTTCAGTTGCATTACATATGTGGAACTATGTGGAACTGCAATAAATATGCTGTGAATTTACTTCATACTTGCAACGTTGCAATCCATATTTACACAGCCGATGGTTGTACATGTGAAATTCATAATTATGCAGACATATGAAGTCAGAAGTAAATGGATGTTCGATGTATTGTATATGTTTCATTTAAATGTTGAACTTCGGAATCCACTTTAAGTCGATCATCAGTTGACGTTTATCTGAAAGAAAAAAAATAAACAACATAATTATTATATAAATAATTAAACTTAAACAAAATCTTTACATTTAATCAATTTGTAGAGATATATGACATATCTCTTCAGCATCTAAAATCTAAGACAACCTTTTGCCATTATTTTATCCAGCGTTTGCCGATAAATAAATAGATTTTACATTTTCATATTTAAAGGTATGTGATGAAAAGTAAACGGTACTTAAGCGACCTGATGTGAATATGTGCTTATAATTTGAAATTTTTTATGCACCTTTTAATATCAACACCATACCTATATCACATGCCATATTATGTTTTGTGCGAGTCAAAACACCAATACTACTTGCAGGCGGTCCAGATTTTTTTTTCTTTTTAAACATTTCATTATTTCTTATCAAATAACGTGTAGGACCCTCTCATTCTAGTGATTAACAGGAAAATAGATAGTTTTAGGGGAATCAGTATTTGTTGAGAAAAGTAGCAATCTAATATTCACCCGGTTTAACTTGGCGATAACGATCCCCACCCCAAACACCATATGGGTCCTCACGATCTAATGAGCAGGCTATATTTTTAACCTCCAAAAAGTAATGTCATATTGAAAAAAGTTATGGCAGAAAATAAAACATTGATCGTCTTTTTGTATTGAGTTTCCTTCCCAGTGCAGATCGCAAAGAATCACGTGGTATAGGTACCGAGATGAAAACTAGAAGTATATAATCCTTACAAAAGCTAAAAAGAACACAGGAAAATTACATTCAACTTCGCAAGATTTGACTAATCTTACCTGGATCTATTTCTAAATCTCGTCTGCTAGGACGTATTGGACCTTTCCGTAACGGAATGGGGTTTAATGTTACTGGACCACCCGTTACAACTTCATCTGAAAAAGAGAATATAGCATAGGTAGGAACATTATTTTGCCATACACATATAACATATTTTTATTACGTTTGGTAACCGGCAAAGTAATTTGTGTCTGAGGACACTTAAAACCTACCTATAGTTAAGTATACGTCATTTATTCTTTTAAAACAACTATAAACATCAAGTTGATAAACAGGCTTCGTATGAGACGTTTAACTTTGTTAAATAAAAAGCTTAACACTAATTTATCAAGGTGACAACACTAAGCTTAACCAAAGGTGCCACACTACATGTATGTTTTACCGGCCAATGTTTTAGCAGCATTTATCAGTAACCATTTTAATAGCACATTATTATAATTGAATTCATATAAAACATACAATATCAGGTTTTTTTTCGATGCTAACAAATTTAGCTGACAAATTTTCATTCCATATCCATTTTGTTAAAATTTGTTTAAATGTAATTACCATGTTTTTGGCTTACTAAAATATATTTTGCTATTAAAAATTTGAAAAACCTCTGTGCAGACGAAATGTTGACTCGGGTACATGTTGAATACGACGAAACGGATACCCATGCCCTAGACTTCTTGCCGACTCTGAAATGTATGTATACATCGTGCAGGGTTTAATACTCTCTGACCTGGATTTAAACACATGCAATGTTAATGCCCTTCAATTAAGAAATCATTTTAAAGGTAGAGTAATATAAAAACAATTTTATGCCCTGAACGATTTATGCAATTTTATTCCTTGTACTTTTGGTTAATGTAACATTTTCTTTTATTTCATCACTTACAGCATCTGTTACTCCGGAATGCCATAAACCTATTTCTGGCAATTATTTTTCAAAGAAAACACTTTAAAACATGATTTATTTTAATGTTAAATACTTAAATTGTCGTTTAAACATATATAAGCATCAATTGATATTAATGGCAAACAGCATTCAGTCGTTAATCTTTATTGTGCAGAAGTGTTCAAATTCACGCAAATGGAAAAAAGGCAAAAAATGAAAAGCTTATTAAAGTCACAAGTATTAGTAAAGTGATATATGACTAGAGACATATCTTATTAATGATAAATAGTATTTCACTGTTCTCATATTTCATAGTTTAAACCTAAAAACGGTTAAAAAGGTACACACAACAAACTTATTCTTGGATATATAATAACATTGGGTCGATACACTAAATTTTTAAGAAATGCATGATGTTTTGGGTTCTATTTAGTGCAAGATCTACTAAGAAAAAAAAACAACAAATAGCCTAATTGCTGAGTACCATTTAATCAAAACTGTTATCCAAATCAGAAACTTATACCTTTTGTGTATGAGAGCGAGATTTTATTCCTGTATTGCAAAAAATCGGCGGCCATATTGGACGCCATCTTTGTTTCTGAAGCATTGTGAAAGCAAAAGATTTTGGATGCTTGTAAAGGAGAGACTATATACTTGCTCTGGTATAAGTTTCAGATGTTAACAAACAAATTTATTTTAGTTAATGACCTTCATTTTTTAGCCTAATGCGAGTTTTTTTTTTTATAATAGGTATAGACGGGTTTGCAAAATTTAATGTTAACCTGTAACTATCAATTGTTAGTCTATTCAAGACACACAAAGCAATCACAATGTTATGCCACACGCCTTGATACCTTTAGGGCGTTTTATAGATTCTGTGTTAGGTATTTGTATGGGTGGAACAACGGATGGGATGGGCGGAATGGGAGTTCTTGTAACCGGAAGCGGATTAAGGGCAGCCGGTCCACTCGTTATATCTGCACCTTCTGTGAGAATCACAAAGTATTAAAACACATTGCCAACAAATAGACAATCATATACCAATTTCCCCTCATTTTTTAGAAAGTTAGAAACATTTTCACATAAGAATACATTTCTTTGAATAAAAATAACCCTAAAACATAAATTACTTTAAAGACATGCACACATGTATTATAATATTTATTATATTATATAAAATCGCTGTAACAGATTTTTTTAATATACCTTAAATATTGCAGTAATTTAAGTATGCGTTTACTAATTTACAACAATTTAATATTATCTTGTTTACATTTTATTAGTTCAATTGCTTTGTTGTCCATTTGTTCTTATTTTATAGAATCCCAGTTTCCTTTTATATGTCAGAAATTTTAATGAACTCTGACCTTTAACATGATGATGTACGGTAAGGTCACCTTACCAATGGCAAAGTTATACATGTGAATTCATGCTTTTAAAACATATTTTAACCATGGTTTTACAGTTTAAGTCATAGTTTGAGTAAATAGTTCAGTACGGAATTATAAAGTATTGAAATTAAAAATGATAGTTGAAATCTACATTGTATTATGTTATTGCTTACCTGGTCCTGAGTAACCATCCCCAACTTGTTTTGTATATTGATCTTGGGCGTCTGTCAACCACTTCCGTATTCGTCGGCGTTCGGCTAAAGTTTTTTTTTAAATAAAACATAACATTTATAAATAGCTTTGATTTAAAACGGTTCAAGTTCGAAGTTTAGATAAAAGTTTATTAGTTATTGTAAATATTTAATCTTTTTAAAAAATAATGTTGCGTTCCATACTTTTTCGATTTCTAAAATATATATATTCTTAAAATAAAGGGACATTTTCGTCAATCATGATAACAGCCCGTCACTATGACCATGTCTTCCATCATCAAATTTTCAGAATAATGGATTGGGGAACTTAATAATTATGTTAGACACATATACGAGCAGAAGGAACGAAAATATTTCCATATCTTGTTTGCGAAGGCAGAGAAAGGATTTATGGGTCTTTATCAGTCTTACCTGCCTCTTTTTGTTGAAAAATATCTGAAAAATAGTAACAAAAACATTAAAATGACAAATAAAATATAACATTTTTTTATTTTATTTATTTTTTTCTTCATTTTTTAAGTATTTCAATTTCGCCCGATGGAGACAATGCACAAACACGGATTTATATTACAGATTGATATAGGCGTGTGGTTATCCTTTCTATGCGCGAAGTTATCTTAAATCTTTCAAATGTTACTAAATCATATTTTGTATAAATGAATTTACGTTTATGTCTAGGTTACCCCATAAAAATATTATTGTGAAACAATTGTACAGAAAAAAGTCACGACGGTTTTAATGTAATTTAACTGATAAAGTAGTCTATTTTGATTACTAATTATAATAACAAAACGCAGTCAGTCATACCCGTCCTCCCAACAAACAACATTTTTTCTAAATCCCCGCGGTATGTTCACATCCTGCGGAGACAGTCATAGAGTTTGTTTGTTTGTTTTGGGTTTTACGTCACATCGACACAGTATAGGTCATATCGCGACGTTCCAGCTTTACTGGTGGAGGAAGACCTCAGGTGCCCTTCCGTGCATTATTTCAGGCACGAACGGGCACCTGAGTAGAACCACCGACGTTCCGTAAGCTAGCTGGATAGCTTCCTCACATGAAAGAATCCAAAGTCCCTGTCGGGATTCGAACCCACAGCGGTGAGGGGCAAGTGATTTGTAGTCAACGACCTTAACCACTCGGCCACGGACGCCCCCAGTCATAGAGTAAAATCTTCGCTAAATGTTCCCGCACTTTAGGTCAGAAGTAACGCCGTTTTTTTTTACATATATCAAAAGCAAAACCACGACATCGTCCTGTAAGTGTGGTGGCAGACTAAATGTTAAACTTGACTTATGTCTCGTGCTTTTCCATATAGAAGTACCCCAGTAGCTTTTTTAATGCATACTTATGAAGTATTCATAAATAATACTTACTGACAAAGTCGTCCTTCTTAGTTCGATCTATAAACATTTCTTGACAAGATTCATCGCAAAATTCCTCCTCCTCCAAGTCCTTTAGAAGTTTAGCACAATTCCGGCATCTTTTCCGTCGGCGTTTATACCGGCCACCGGCTCCTGAATAATGTAGAAAGAACTGAACGAAACTTCTCCTTGGTGTACTGCAAATAATTCCAACAACCGACGAAGTATTTATAGAGTTAAGTACACCAAGATAAATTTAAAAAATGAAGAAATCGAGAGTTTAGTACACCAATTAAAAAGGAGAAGAAACTTTGAAGACTTTGAGTTGATATTTACAATCAGGGAACTATTTCAAAAGTATGTATATGTTCAGATTGTGCAGTGATATACATGTATATTTGTGAACGAGCATAAAAGTAAATTCATTGGAGTTAGAGCTTTCTGCACCAGTTGATGGTGACTCTGCCCTTAAATGAAAAATATCAAGGACTTTGACTTTTATTCTCAAGCTTGACGAAAAGGTCCTTCGCTGTGGGGAAAATCCAAGAGTAAAATCCCTACAAATATTCCACATCACTGGGAGTTGGACATCTCTGTTGTCGCCAAAATAAAAACAACCTCACTGAATCGGTGTGTCATATTGCCAATTTTTGCCTCTAGACCCGCTCTGACACAATGGCGGGAAACTGACTGGTATTTAAATTATTAAAGAAATACACATTTTTTGGTTATTTAATCCATGCAACTTACATTTGGGTTCGTCGGTATTTCTGCATGTATGCTGATATCCTTGACATTCCAGAGGGTTTTAGGCCCTTGTAAGACGAGGCAGAATCCTTTGTCATGTTATAATTTTATTTCCCCACTTCTTCAAAGTGTGAAGTTTTACACTAGAAGCGTAAATTTTGTAACAGTCTTACAAGATTTGCTTTAATCATATCAAGATTTAAAAGGAATTAACCCAGATTAAAATGATATTGATCTTAAAAATGTTTATTTTTTCTATTTATAGACAAAATGATCTATTTATAGAATTAGTCACGTGAATGCATTATGTTAGTCTGTATGATAATATAAGTTGAATTTTTACCAGTATTTTGATTTATTGCAGGAAAAGTAGTTCCTATTGCACCATCTGAAAATAAATACAATATTTATCTGTAATCATGACTTACTTTTACATCAATTTAAACCATTAATCTACGGATTTTCTGCAATCATTGCACTGCACTTACTTTGAAAATAAGTATCTGTCTTATGTATATACTTTGCCATCAACTTACACCCTTAACCTCTTCGGAACAGTTCATGCGAAAAATATATAAGTATATACATGTACATAAAAAAGTAAACAGCTACCAACAGTACCAGACCATGGTAAGACTGTGCGGGTGTGCAGGCTGGTCTGGCATAGGCAAATTACACCCGGTTCTGTCAGGTTAAGGGTTAAGATGGGTTTTTTCAAGTCACTGAGAGAACAAACAAGGAGCATTTTTTGCATTAGCCAATTTACACAATTTTGAACGTTTTCCATTTTTAAAAACAACAACAACAAAAACAACAAAAGCCGCAATAACCGATATATTTTTTGATCATCATGTTAACCGGAAACGGAAGTTTCGCCACACAGTTAGCCTGATGATGATTATATATTCAAAAACATAATTTTAAATAAAGTTTCCTTTTAAAAGGAAAGGCTTGCTCAGTTGTGCCATCATCCCTTCCCTTTAATTTTGTTTTTTCAATTTATTATCACATTTTTTTTAATTACGGTACATCAAAAAGGATTTATTTTATTTTTTTTTTCTCGAAAAAAAGTTTCACTTTTAAAGGGATAGGTAGGGTAAGCCCCAAGACTGGACGAGCACATGTGCCCATTTGTTTGAGCACCAGTATTATGCGTGCAAATTTGGACCAAATAGGGACCAGAAGTCCACTGATTTTAACTGAACGGGAACATGCTGACGATAACAGAAGCAACTTTTTTTGTTAAAACGAATATTTTTTTGTCAAAAACGATTCGAAATCTATTCTGTATTGTATAAAACTAATAAAGGTAAAAATACTAACATTGGTTCTCACGTGGAGATCAATCTATCATACTGAAGGAAAACAAGTGTGCACATTTCATTTCCACTTTTTTTCGCAGAGAGAGTCATTCGTTTTGGCAGTTGCTAATTTCATTTATATAGCAGCTTTATGCACTAAAAGATTTCGTTACGTAGTACCAATTATTAAGCATGTATCAACTATGTTACACCTTAAATATTTATGATCACAGATATACCGACAACACAGGAGATCAGCACGCGGATATGCATGGGCTATTTTAAGATTACCTCACCAAGACGTTTAAACTCTGTATAACTTGATCATGCACTAATATTCTGCGTGATTCGGTCACGATCTTTTGGTAAGCAGGACCGCCCTTTGGAGATGGAATACTACTACAGTAACCATTCTCTATTGTATAAAACTAATAAAGACAAAAACCTTGAAAAAGAATTGAAACGGAATAAAGTAAAAATAGAAATCCTATTTATATAAACAAACTGGGATTACCGAAGTAACTAAAATAGCTTAGATTTCCGTAATATTACTTCGTCTGATTCCGCAGTATGATGGAATCGCCCGAATTGTCACGATTGCAATCGAAACTACCTCGGCTATTTTCATTAATCCGAAGAGTGACGGAAAGGGCCGAAAAGTTGCGATTGGCACGATTGCACCTGGTTTCCCGTTCAATCATGCACTAACAAATGTAAGCAGGAAACCACCTAACCGGAACAACTTTTCCAAAACAATGGCTTGCAGCCGTGGCTGCAAGCCAAAAAAGAAAAAAAACAACAACATTGATCAGGGCAACAAAACAACGAAAAGACTACTTTGTTGATGTTGATATTTACATATCCATCAACAAGAAGGAGAAGAAAATAACAACAGTTAATTACCTTCTGCGTGTTCGTTTGCCGATATAGGCAATCCTTGTATACTCAGCTTCACGTTACCATAGTAATCCACAGATATGTTAAGATTCTGAAATAAAATCATAAGATTTCAGAAATTATTAACATCTTGAATGAATTATTCTTTTTTAAAATATCTGTTTTCTCGCTCATTCTCAATAAAACACAGCATTTGATGTTCCACTGGGTAGCTCTTATACGAAGGTTTTTCTTGAGGTCAAAATGTCGTTAGAAAGGTGCCTGCCACTTTGTCTAATAGGGACACTCTCAGTTTTACATTTCTATCTGTTATTTTTCTTTTACAAGTACCATTAATGCCCTAAAATGTAACATACGTTACTGTCGCCACCTAGAATTTTCAACTTTGAAATTGTGTTTCAGAAAAATAAGTTCCAGAATAAACGAAACATGTGCAATTAGTAATTGCTGTGTCTATATACACTTTGATTATTGGTAAAAATTATATTTGACTGTTAAAATCTCATTGGTATAATGGATGATCAAATGTCGCCAAATGCATATAAATAAATAGTGACAAACCTAAAACAATAAGAAGTGAAACCAAAATTACATAATTGAATCGATGCATGCTTAATAATACAGCATATATATAATTATAAGTAAAAATAAGCTTGCAGCCTCTCAAATATCATTCTATTTTCGGAAATTTTCATTTTTTCTTCAAATCTTTTCAACAGCACTTTAAAAAGAAACATACGTTACCATTATTTAAGAGCCAATCCATTCAAAGAAGAATCCAAACAAGAAAGAAAATTAACATGTGTGTAACTCTGATATATAAACCACAAATTATGGCGGCTTAAACGGTCTTGCGTCATTTTTAACCCACTTTCAATGTAAAAATGAAACATACGTTACAGAAACATACGTTATCAACTTTTTAAAGTAAGTTTATCAAAAGGGAAAATGAAGTCAGAAAGCACGTATAACATCAACATTAAGTTCTATTTGACATTAGTAAGTAAATTTTGTTAACTTTGGTCGTGTTTTTACTTGTGTAAGTAACCACAGTGAAACAAACGTTACTTTTATCAAACAGACTTTATATTGTTTACACATGCATATATAGAAACATAAAATCGCATTTTTCTGACCATAGAATGATGTGCATTTGATTCCTAAATAAAAAAGTCGATGTTACATGTCAGTTTAAATTCCGTGATTAAGTTCATAAATAAGCGAGTGTGAAACATACGTTACTCCAACTTACAATTCATCAATTTTTGAAAATTAAAGATAAAGTTGGGATTAGCATGTCTGTTAGTAACGGCTACCTTGTATTAGATGTAAGAAGACACAAAATTGTTTTTACAAAGGAAAGATATGTTAATAATATGTTGATGTACCAGCAGAAATGTTAAAAACATATTACAAGATATTGATGTTCTCAGCAACAACTTATTCGTTTCTGCAAAGAGCTTACTGGCCGTATTTCATTCTATATATAATAATGTTAAAATAATATCCATAAATATAAATTATTTTACAAAAAATAGAATAGTTTTTCTCAACCTTTACTTGCATTTGAATAAAATGAAACATACGTGACATCCTATATGGGGATAAATATCGAACTGTTTAGTACTAAATTTTCCAAATATTAAGAACGTGGAAAGTTGAATATTTTGAGAAAAAAAATTGCTAATACAAAATTTGTGTATGCATTCGACCTCTCATATATTATATATGATATATATCCTTTGAATGAAGACATAAAATAATCATTTTCAAAATTGACTATTTTTGCTTTCTACGAATATTTAACTTTGAAAAAATTGACTGAAAATTAGCAAGGTACCCAACTTCTTTGAATTTTCCTGGGTTAGAAAGTCCCTCTAGATAGAGAATTTACAGATTTTGATATATTTTACAATAATCAGTTCAATAAAAACAAACGCTTTTCTTTAGCTTTCGACGTTTAGTCTTCTTCAGAAAAATTGACGTTTATAAAATAACAAATGACAAATGACGCAACGTCCGTTTAACTATACGCTAAACAGAACGTGACGTTAACGCGGGAATAAAAAACTTTGTCAAATAAATACAGAATCTTTCATGAATATAAATACAGCAATATACAATAAATTACACATATAATATAATATGGATCTGCACATGTGATACAAAAATTCTCATAATTAATAATAATAAAAAACCTTGATATGAGAAAAAACATACTACATGTATATGTATATGTATACCGGCTCAATAATGACAAAGTTATATATTGTACAAAACTTTTGCATTCATACCATTAGGAGATAATGTGTTAAGCTTATGAATCCAGTATGATTCTTGTAATAAGCGTTCCATATCATCGGAGACAATCTCTATGGGCATAAATTTAAAATCCTTAATACAATGATTAGTTTTATTGAAGTGTGTAGCGACATTGGTTGAAAATAACGGATCGGAAAAATTGTTGATATCAAATCTATGGCTATTCATGCGTTTAGACACTTGTTGCTTCGTTTGACCAACATATTGCTCTTTACATTTATCACAAGTGACAAGATATATAACATTTTTCGTAGAACAATCAGTATTGTTATTTACATGATAATTCTTACCAGGAATATTAGTACTACAAAATATATTGCTTTCAATAATGGAGCTGCAATGTGTACATCTACTTCTATTACATTTGGATGAACATTTCACATTTTTGTTATTAGACATAACATTAGAATTAACGAGAATGTCTTTTAGATTTTTAGGTCTTTTAAATGCAACCAAAGGTTTACTTTCATGAAGCTTTTGCACAGAACATTTACTTGAAAGTTTAAGTAAATCCCAATACTTTTTAATGATATTACTAATATTAGGTAAGGTTGGGTTATATTCAACAACAAAGGGAATAACACTACCATCACTTGTTTTGTTGTTAGTGCACAGGGCCTCATCTTGTGTTAGACATGAAACCTTACTAAGTGCATTATCAATAACATTGATAGGATAATTTCTTTCTTTGAAGTATGTTCGTAAATTCTGTAAAGAATCGTTGAAAACACCATCGTCAGAAATGATACGGCGATAACGTTTTCCTTGACTGTACGGAATACCATTTTTACAAGATACTGGGTGACAGGAAGAGTATTCTAAATACTGATGATTATCTGTCTCTTTAACATGTATATCAGTATGTATAATATTGTTTTCGTCTAATGAAACGTTTACATCTAAAAATGATACAAGAGATTTAGAAACGTTCGCTGTAAATTTTATAAATGGATGAAAGTTATTCAAACTATCAATGAAAGCATTCAAATCATCAAGGGAATAACTCCATATGCAAAATATATCGTCAAGAAAACGGAACCATAAACTGGGTTTTAAAGAACGTTGGCTTAAAAAATCATTTTCAAATTTACCCATAAAAAGCGAAGCGTAAGAGGGTGCCATAGAACTTCCCATTGCTGTTCCCATTTTTTGTATATAATGATCACCGTTAAACTGAAAGTTATTATTTTCAAGGACAAGGGAAAGAAGTTTACATATTTCATTACATGAAAGTTTTTTGGGGGGATTTCTCTCTAAAAATTGTCTGCAAGATTCTACTCCGTCTGTATGGGGAATGTTCGTATATAGAGATGTAACATCTAACGTAACAAGGTAATGTTCTCCCGACCCAAGAGAAGTGGTTTTCAGTTTGGCAATAAAATCTGAAGTGTCCCTGATATACGAAGGTAGATTATGTGTTAATGGCTTTAAAATTGAATCTAGGTACTTAGAAATATTTTCTGTTCTAGATTTACAACCGGAAACGATCGGACGTCCAGGATAACCTAAAGGGTACTGTTCACTATACTGCTTATGAATTTTAGGAAGAATATAAAAGCCGGGAGTACGTACATCTACCGGAAAAATATCAAATTCATCTAAAATATTCCCGTTTATCTTACCTAATTCATCAATACATTTTAAAATATTGCTATGAATTGAAGATGACGGATCATGATCGAGTTTAGTATAATACACTGGATTATTAAGTTGTCTATTCACCTCTGCAATATAATCTTCTTTGTTCATTATCACTATAGTACTTGATTTATCGGCATTTTTTATAACTATACTTTCATCGCTGGATAAACTCTTCAATGATTCGAGTTCCGGTTTTGAAATATTCGTATAATTCCTCCGTTTTGGTTCAGCCTTAAGGATCTCTTGATTAACAGCTTCTATGTAAAAATCCAAATATGTATCTCTGGTAACGTAGATTTCAGATCTAATAATGTAACATATTGGCTGCATATTAATAACAAATGTCTGTAAAATATATCAAAAAAAAAAAAAAAAAAAAAAAAAAAAAAAAAAAAAATTTTTTTTTTTTTTTTTTTTTTTTTTTTTTTTTTTTTTGATATATTTTACAGACATTTGTTATTAATATGCAGCCAATATGTTACATTATTAGATCTGAAATCTACGTTACCAGAGAAATACAGTGTCATTACCGAAATAAATGCCATCCTGTTATATCATAGTTTCTTGTTCAAAATATTTCTGGCAAACTTGCAAAATACCCCAAACTTTTACTTCAGCGATAAAAAATGACACAATGACAACATCAAATTTTTAATATTTTTCAACCTCAAATGCTTTATTTTATTGAGAATGGGCGTTCTACCACACCTAAGTATACATTGTTTTATGCAACTTGAGGATCACTTGAGGCCAGCTGATTGACTTACTACCGAAAAGTGCTGGTGTCATTTTCTTCCTTCCAGAATACATATATATTACACAAGTATTTTGTACAGCTGTTTAACGACGCAACCTTTTTTAAATAAGAACACAAAAGTCATATACAGGTACTTGATTATTAAATTAGATCCTTAACTTTTATTTGAACGTGATCATTAGTCTTTGCAACCGGTATACAGTCAGTGCAGGGAGTCTGACATGTACGAAAGACCGATAGGGTCATTTCAGGTTCCATCTTCATGAATTCCTCATTTCAAGTTCATGAATTCAAGATTTAAACTTCAGGAATTCACGATTTAAACTTCAGGAATTCAACTTCGTGAATTCAGGATTTCAATTTCAGGAATTCACGATTTGAACTTCACGAATTCACGATTTCAACTTCATGAAGAAATTGTGAATTCATGAAGTTGAAATCATGAATTTATGAAGTTGAAATCGGGAATTCATAAAGATGAAATGTTCCTACCGGTCTTTCGTAGACCAGGCTCCATACTGTTGCATGAACAATTTCAAATGTTCCCTTTGATATCCCTAAAGCTAATAATAGATGTTTCCAAAAATGGCAGTCGGACCAGTCCATTTAATAAAAGGGTAATTACCTGTTTCTGATCTCGTCTCTTCTGACAAATTTTGAACTGTGAGGCGCAATCGGCTGAACAGAACTGCCGACGCTGACCAACATATGTTAAACACCACTTGCACAGATAATCTGAAAATGTAAGTGTCGTCGTCAACGGCGGTAAATGATCCTTGTCGCCTGCCGACGATCTGTCGGTATCCATTCCCTTAAACTCAATGTTCACTTGCCTCATTTTGTTCTTTTTACTACGTTTCAGCCTGAGAATATGACTAGCAACGGGGTTTATCGCTGATATAGAGCCCTTTAAACGAACTGTTGGATTCCTCGGCGTGTTTGTCTCTGAGCCGATTTCAAGCCCCTCTGGCTCGTCTATACGGATTATATACCGTCCGACCGGTCCCTTAATGGCAGCACGAGGCTTTTGAAAATGACGAATAACTTTTGTATGTGGCATTTATTTGAAATAAATTATTCTAAGTTATTAAATAATATATGAATATACTATTCATATCTTTAAGACATCTCCGTATAAATTGCTTTGATTACACCATTATTTAAAAAAAAATATACACCGCAATTAATCCACCACCAAATTAAGAAAGAATAAAATTCCTGTCCGGATATTTCCATTTTTTTTAAACAAAAAAGAAGTTCTGTTATTAGAAATCCACAAATCACTACCCGCAGTTGTTTAAATCTTTTTTTCATTTT